ACAGTAGAGCGTCGTTGCTTTTCCGGAAATTCAAGGGCCAGTGTAGACAGCTCGCAGCTTATTCCGGAAAAGCGGCTGATTTTCCGGAATAAGTGGTCCAGTGTAGACACAGCCCCCGTGTTTTTTAGTGCAGACAAACTCAGAATATACAGTGGGACCAGATCTGCTCCCATTGGTGCATTGTCACCCCCACTCAAGCCCCAATTCTGCAGAGTACTTCTCTTCAGCAAGAGCCTGATCCACAGGCAGTAGAAGTAAATAGTTGTATTTCTGTTGTTTTCATTGGCCTATGCGTAAATGAGATTTAAGGTTAAACATATGGTTAAATACTCTATTGAAATGGGGGGGAGAGGGGAAGGAGATTTGTGAGGTTATTTGAATGTTAACTGAGAGTAGAATTGATATCAGTATTTTGCTATTCCTGCTTAAAACTCAGCCCTGATCTATACTAGGGAGTTATTTCGAAATAACTCCCCTTATTTCAAAATAACAAGTGGAGCATCCACATTACCAAGCCTGTTATTTCGAAATAACAACTCCTGCTTTCCATGAGGAATAACGCTTATTTTGAAATAGTTATTTCGAAATACCGGTAGTGTGGATGTCCACTGCTGCTGTTCGGAAATAACTACTCCCCAGAGTCCTTCAGAGTGATTACTCCCCAGTGTTTCCTGGCACTCTAAATTAAGGTAGTGCACCCACATTAAGAGAACCTACCTCGGATTAATTTCAAAGCTCTACTGTAGTGTGGACCCACTATTTTGAAATGGTTATTTCAGGAGCTATTATTTACTGCTGTAGTGTAGACCCACTATTTAGAAATGGTTATTTCAGGAGCTATTATTTCATTTCAAAATAATTTCCTAGTGTATATATGCTCTCAGTGTTTTTCAGCTGTGTGGGATCAGATATAAATGGTCTTTTATTGGTGTATGGCTATAATAATAAATAATAATACTTATGTTCTTGGGTCATTCACCTAGGATTATATTAATAATGTGCTTTAATTAGAAAATGGCTTTCTTTTATATACGTAGTCAACATCCGGTAATGGCATTTTCTGTTTATGAACTTTATTTTGGACAAACACTTTTGTAGCCATCTTTCAATACATAACAAATAGATATCTTGTACTAAATGGCACAAGATTTAAAATAATGTATGTAATAAAAGGGAAGGGTTCCAGTGGTAAAAGCAACGCCATTCCACTTCTTTATAAGTAAGTTAATTCTCATTGAAACCAGTATGATAAAGAAAAGATGATGTATTTTAATTATGAATGGCTCCCAAATCATCATTTCAACTGCATTCTGATTAAGAAAAGATGATGTATTTAAATTTTGAATGGCTCCCAAATCATCATTTCAACTGCATTTTAAACTAGCTGCATCTTAAAAGCGGTCAATTGCACAAGGTTTTAACTTGCCATTTCCTATAATCCTGTATAGGTCCTCAAGGGGATACTGGATCACCAGGTCCTTCTGGAGATAATGGGTCGATTGGACTAACTGGTCCTCCGGGCCCATTGGGAAGACCTGGCGAAGATGGGGCAAGTAAGAGATCATAGACTGGTAAACCATAAACTCTGAGCTTTGTATACTATACTTGATCCACCTGCTACTAGAAATTGTCAGCATAGACCAGGCCTGTTGTGTTATTTTAACCTTTGCAACACTAAATGTGGGGAGGCCATGTAAATCAGGTAGAGTGATGCTGAGTGAGAAAGGATTACCCAGTAGTGGGGAATGAGCTGGATCCTTTAACAGTTCATTTCAGACTCGCTTATGTTTGAGTAATTTAAGTGGAGAAAATGAGTTTTTCTAAGGAAAGGATAACACTGGTTTTTTGTATTAGTGGAACTTTACTGAAGCATGTTGTAAACCTTAACACCCTTTTCATTTGTGTTGTTACTGCTCATGTGGGTGTCTGTGTACATGAACACAGTATGTTATATATATCATGGACAAGACTTAAATTACCCTCTATCAGAAAACAAGTGAGAAAAGACCTTTATGGAGAAAAGGGGAGCAATATTGCTGTGTTGTGTTCTTCCTCTCCCCAGGAGCCTGTAACAGCTCTGTAGAACCAACATCACATGGTTAGGTCTTGTTGTTACTGCTCATGTGGGTGTCTGTGCTCATGTGGGTGTCTGTGTTGTTACTGCTCATGTGGGTGTCTGTGTACATGAACACAGTATGTTATATATATCATGGACAAGACTTAAATTACCCTCTATCAGAAAACAAGTGAGAAAAGACCTTTATGGAGAAAAGGGGAGCAATATTGCTGTGTTGTGTTCTTCCTCTCCCCAGGAGCCTGTAACAGCTCTGTAGAACCAACATCACATGGTTAGGTCTTTGTAGCTTTGGATTGGGGTGATATGCCCAGGTGGAAGAAGATGACATTCACTTCACTTTACATCCTCTCCAATGGCCCTAGTGAAAACACAACCTTCTGAACTACAGGGAGTTAATTCTGCTAAAAAACCCCTACTCCTTGCTGGTAGACGTATGAGGGTTTTGGGGAGAGGGAACAGATTCTCCAAAAGACTGGAGCTTCCTTTCCCCATGAATCCCGAGGAGAAAACAAAGGATTTGACAGCCATGCCCCTTCTTCCTCAGCAGCCTCAAACAGATTTCCCCAAAGGAAAATACCAATTACAAATTCCACAAGATAAACTCCAGACACCTTGGCTTTTCTATTCCCTACAATGGAGGCTTTTCATAGGAAGGTTCTGTATGGCCCATAATTTCTACAGTTCTCCTAAGTATTCACAATTACACTTTATAGTTAATACTTACCTATTTTCCCAATAGGCCTCTCTGGACTGCCAGGAGCCTGTGGGGAACAAGGTCCTAAAGGTTCTCAAGGGGACCCTGGTCTTCCTGGAAAAGCTGAATCAACTCCTGGAAGACCAGGGTCTCCTGGAGCACCTGGATTACCAGGAGCACAAGGAAGACAGGGTTTGCCTGGATCACCTGGTAAGAAAATATCAGATGTGTCCTGTGTGAGGATTGTTATAAATAATATATGTGTGTGGGTTTAGCTTTTGAATGGAAGGTCTTTTCCACTCAATTAGATTAATTAATTTTATGTTGGATGCAGGGAAAATGTTTTTTATAAACCAAACTAGATCTAATTGTTCACCAATAATCATTGAAAAGTCAAGATTTAGAAAGAAGCCAGAGTAGTCATTGTAAAAAGTTGATGGCCTAGTTCTCCCTTTTGAGCTGTTCTGGTTTGATAGAGAGCAATAGAATTGTTGGAAGAGTCCAGTGGGGAAAGGACAGCTGTAAGTATCCTTGCTTTAAAAAAAATAGCGTGCCTAATTTTCTTTTGCCCTGCACCTTGTGCAGCCTTTATACCAATACAGAGGGGGTGTGAAAAGTCAACATGTCTGAACCGCACAGTTTTGTACTTGTGTAAATTGACTGCAAAAGGTGAATGGCAGTAGTAAACAGAAACAAGCTCAGTATGGTTTGCAATGCATTTTTTTTAAGACCATATCCTTAGCTGAAAAACTGGCTCTATATAAGCATTATATAATAGATTAATTATTTGTAGGTTGGGTACTTGCATTTAACTTCTTTTGATTCTGTGGACATACTCCTGATTTAAACCAATATAATTATGATTACAATCAGGCCTTTGTTTTCAAGGCTTAACTACCAGAGAACCACATCAGTTAAAATGCGAGGAGTATGTAGATCTCAATTGCCTATTTTGCATTGAAAATCTGAAGCTAAATCCAGAAGTCATGATCAAACCAAAAGAAATTTACCCAAATCAACCTCCATTAAAAATATGAACTTTAGTATTCTAATACAAAAAAACCCCCAGCATCAGAGAGTAGTAATTGGCAAGACCTTTCTTTTATCTCTTCTATCTTCTAATATTACTCCAAGAACAATCATAGAATCATAGAATACTTGGACTGGAAGGGACCTCGAGAGGTCATTGAGTCCAGTCCCCTGCCCCCATGGCAGGACCAAATATTGTCTAGACCATCCCTGATAGACATTTATCTAACCTACTCTTAAATATCTCCAGAGATATTTAATGCAATATTTAATGCAGAGATATTTAATGCAATGCAATATTCAGTAACTTGCAAACCACTTCATAAGATATCTAGCTATTCATTGAGTATCCCAATGAATAAGGGGGAGGGACAGAGGAAAGGGAGAGAATGTTACCTAAACTGTAATATTCAGTCCAAATATGTGCTATGTTTCTTCTTAAGGTATAGTTTGTCATGGCAAAGGGCTCCCTGGACAACCAGGAATTCAAGGACTAAGGGGGCCCATTGGAAGAAGAGGTGAAAAAGGAGAAAAGGGTGAGTATACATAAATAGTAGATTCCAATGCAGAAGAGACCTTAGCTGAGCTCCATGATTTTGTTTCACCATCGAAGGCCAGAACCTGCAAGCTCCATAGCATCTCCCTAAATGGACAGGACTGTGCAGCACTTTAAAGACTAACAAAATGGTTTATTAGATGATGAGCTTTTGTGGAGGATCAGGCCACCTTAATGATATTTAAGTCAGTGGAATTGCCCCAATAGAGAATTTATTCCATGGTGTGCAAAAACTCCACATCTTGTGTAAGAAATGACATGACTTTCTTTCCTACAGCCATGGTCGAATTATAACAGGCATTCAGCCTCTTACTTACATGACTACATTCAGAAAAAGAATAAAAGATATTTCAGTTTATGTTACAAGTCACAACCAGTTCAAAGTTGTTTTCCTGCATTTGTTTAGGGGTGGTCCTGCTGGCCCACCTGGTAGAAGAGGGCCACCTGGTCATCAAGGAAGGCAAGGACAGATGGGATGCCCTGGAAGATATGGAGAAAAGGGTGATCCAGGTTTATCTGGTACAGTAGGATCACCCGGACTCCCAGTAAGTAATTCTTACAAGTTTTCAATTAAAAATAAAGCCAACAAACTTGCCTCTCCAGGAAGTGTCCATTTGAAGGAGGAGAGGGTAGAAAATGGTAGGTGTCTGTACTCTTGCATTGCATGCAATATCTATTGGGCACTCTCCTCCTGCCTCTCCCCCCACTTTTATTGCAAAGGCAGTCCTTTCTCTCTCAGGTTTTTACAGCATTATGACTAAGGCTCTTTGAATGCTACATTCCACACATTCTCCTCCTGCCCCTCCCCCCCCACTTTTATTGCAAAGGCAGTCCCCTTACGGGGTTAAGGTTTTTAAATGTTTTATTTCTTGGTTTCCTTTGGGCAGTTGATTTTGTTTTGTTACTCTGGAAAGAAATCCTGTCCTATGGAGAGCTGGGGTACAAGAGAAAAGGCGGGTTCCATATTAATAGATTGGGAGGGTTTTGGATGGGTTACATTTGATTTGTTTTGGTTGCCTTAGTCTCTCTTTTGCTACCATTTAGAGAAACCACCATTTTTCTTGGACATATTTCAGACATGTACACTTTTTGCCATTGAAGGCTGTTGGATTTTACTTAATTATGCAGAAAGACTCCCTGCAAAATGTTTCAAATGCAAGCAGTATCAAATAGCAGTCACCTGATGTCAGTAGGGGAAATTGCAAACTTAAATCTACTTAACCACATTTTTTATAATTATGTTCAAGGTCATTAGTCCAAAATAATAAAAATAATAAAAAAACCTGTCCTAGAAACTCTTGCTGCATGATAAATACGTTTAATGCAAATTAATGCATTTCTTAGTAAAACATAGCAAGACTTGATTTTTGGAATTTACTCTTACTGTTAATTGGTAGAACTAGCATGATGTTGGTAATTTTTACTCACATTTCATTGTCAATTAAAGTATTCCATTTTTTTCTAAAAAAAATATTTGAGATGCTTAATGCAGCATTCACTGAGCTCATTTGTTTAATGAACCAAGCTGAATTTAATAAAGAGCCTAATACTCTCTACGAACACTGTAAGATAAAATGGAAGCAAGCTACAAAATCAAGCCAATGGTATCTGTATGGAAAAAATGCCTGGAAATGACTAGATCCAACAAACAAAAGTATTTTCACTTGCCTATGTGTTTTTCCTGCAAAATAACAGTTTCACCTAAAGAAAATAATTCCTACAGAATAGAAGATGAATGAGTTATTGGTGGTAATAGATTTTACTACTAGAATTATTTGACATCTGCACACAACAGTTTATATTCTCTAGTATAGCTTTGTTCTCATATCAGATTGGACATGTAATTGATCAAAAACACTTTTATAAAGAAAATAGCAAGGTGAATTAATTCATCACTAGAAAGCACCTTTAAATCAAATGTGTACATCCATCCTTACCTTATTTGTGTGCTGTTTTATTGACAATAGCTGCCAGCAGGACTAACAAATCAAAGGAACTCTCAGACCTGACTATTCAGCAGGTTGATGATTTATATGATGACGTTCATTACCTAACTCACAGTACACCTATTAATTCTATACAGAGACTTATTTTCTTTAACATCCTTCAGGGAATGTAATTTACACCCCACAAATGGATACAGCACAACACCAGACTTAGTATAACCGACTTCCATATATGTTTCAAGAACACACTTTATTACACATTCTGATTTTTGTCCTACTGTAGACAAGTTTGGATCCAATGTGTGGACACTGAATCCAAGAGAGTATATACCGAAGTGCTGCCAGATCTAAATTTCCGTATTTTGTTGTTATGTGTTACAGTTACCATGAATAAGTATAAACATAATGGCTATGTCTACACTCACGGCTTCTTGCGCAAGTAATATGCAAATGAGGCTAAGTGTGGAATATCACCGAGCCTCATTTGCATACCTAATGAGCCACCATTTTTTTCAGAAGAGGCTCTTGCTCAAGGAGTGTCTACATTGCCCCTTCTTGCGCAAGAAAAACCCTCTTGCGCAATTCCGTTCTTCCTGAAAAGTAATAGGTGTAACGGCATTGTGCAAGAGGGTTTTTCATGCGCAAGAAGGGGCAGTGTAGACACTCCTTGCGCAAGAGCCTCGTCTGAAAAAAATGGTGGCTCATTAGGTATGCAAATAAGGCTCGGTGATATTCCACGCTTAGCCTCATTTGCATATTACTCACGCAAGAAGCCGCGAGTGTAGACATAGCCAATATGTATACTTGTGTGATCTTACTGTTGGTGACGCATCACTTTGCTATTTCAATTTAGATCTCATAAAACAGTAGAGCAGTGTTTCTTAAACTTTTTAAGAGCAAGGAACACCAAACAATTTTTTTTATGAAGAACACCAAGAATTTTTTGTTGAGCAAAAAAAAAGTTATTGACCAAAAAAAAAAAAGGTTGCTTGCCCCTTTAAGGGCGGCCATTTTGAACTCTGTTGTTCTTTGCGGCACACCGGTGTGCCACGGAACACCGTTTAAGAAACACTGTGGTATAGAAATGACCTATGGGGTTTCTAAAATATTATTTCTCAGACTTTGCCTACACTTCCATGTAGGTCAACAAAACTTACATATCCCAGGGACATAAGTTACACCAGTATACACACTAGTGTGCACAGTGCTATGTCAGTCGGAGATGTTTTTCCCCACCAACCTAGGTTATGCCACTCACAGGATTTTTTTTTAAATGCCGATGGGAGAGCTCTCTCACACTGACATAGTGTCTTCACTAGATGCACTTCAGTGCTGTGCATATAAACATGGACTCAGATGACACCACTGTGATTTAAATGTGGAATTTTAAGAAATAACTGCATCGTAGGCCAAAGGCCATAATGAGAAGAGCATGTGAATACTACAATTTGCTTTGGTCTCGAGACACTTAAATTTACATGCCCTGGTTGAATAAAGACCCAAGGGGGGAGAGGTGGTGCTGATTCCGTGCTCCATTACACTGATTTTTTTATAATTGCATCTACCTGGACATCAGCAGAGTTATTACAAATTATATAAAAATCATATAGAATCAGGCCCCATTGCTACACCTCTTTCTTTAAGGGGATCCCATAAAGTACAGTGTTTTTTCCTCAGTGTATTGCTTTGAGTGCTGTATATTTGGAAACAATTATAGGGGCACCACATCAAAGGTATGCTATTTATTATGATTCATTACTTGAGCTGAAATGATTAAAAAAATCTTAATTTTTTTAATCATAAGGGCAAACCTGGTTCTTCTGGAATGGCTGGTGAAAAAGGAGAAAAAGGTGACCCGGACAGAAGGAAAATCAAAGGTAAGGCTGTAGTTTATTATCCTCCTTTATATTTCGTATACTGTGTGCTGGATAATAACAAGAGAGCTTGTAAAAATACACATACTTTTTATTAAAGAGGCTGCTGATAGAGATGCTAGCACTAAAGCCACGTGTACACAGATTGATTTCCTGGTGCCTCCTCCAAATCCATGCTGATGGCATAATTGCATGCCGCTACTGCTACCATACAATACTGGAGATTGCCTATCTCCTAGAACTGAAAGGGACCTTGCAAGGTCATCGAGTCCAGTCCCCTGCCTTCACAGCAAGACCAAGTACCATCCCTGATGAATTTTTGCCCCAAATCCCTAAATGGCCTCCACAACGATTGAACTCTCAACCCTGGGTTTAGCAGGCCAATGCTCAAACCACTGAGCTATCCCTCCCCCTGCACCATTGACCAAATGACCATTAATATTATTATCAGGCAATTACAAAGATGTATATGGTTAGGACTGAGCAAAATGCAGTTTAAATAAAGATTATTTGATTTAAATTGTTTCCGGAAATTCCCTAAGCTTGCTTGTCACAGCTACCTCTCCTACCCAGAGAAATTCAACACCTCCATGGCCACTGGAAACCATCCTTTTTTTTTTTTTTTGTCTGGGATACATTTAATCAATCTGAGATCAAAAACAGTATGTGATCAGGTACACAACTTGAATTCTGGAAAAAAAAAGCTGGATGAATTATTCTGTGAACAAGAACTATGATTAAAAGTATTCTTTACAAATACTTTATTCTTTCTGTGAACATGTACACTTTCTGTAGAGGGTTTGTGTGCTCTCATATGCATGCACAGATACTGGAGCAGTGCAAATTATTCCTTGTTTATTTGCAAAAGACTTTCTGAGACAGTGGTGTGAATCCTTTGGAGTTAATATTTTTTGCAAAGTTTAATTTGTGCAAAAAGTGTATTTTCATTAATGTTCAGGAAAAAATATGAAACTCTTACAAGTAAATTACTCCGCATTATTTACCATGCTCCAGCATAACACTGAGTGAAATCCTAGCTCTACTGAAGTGGATAGCAAAATTCTCGCTGAATTCAATGGAGCAAGTTTGTCACAATACATAAAGACCCCCCCCCCCATGTACTCATGATAGCCATATGAAAAAACTGAAAACCCAGGTGATAATTACATTTTAGTTGTTTCACCTGCACTCTGCCCATAAATGCATCTCCCCAAGGATTTATAAACTATGCTAACATCCTAAATATTTGAACAGTTGCAATCAATCACTTAAAACAATAACAACAAAAACCCTATCATAAAGATATTTGTTTTCTTTGCCCAAATTTCTCAGAAACTACACTGCTGTGAGGCGCAGTGTACATCCCTGCATCACTGTGTGGTTTAAGATTCAATATCTTGTAACTGAGATTAACTAAGAACATGAATCTTACCTCATTGGAACATGGAGATTCCCAAATTGCTTCTAGCTTGTACAATGTTCTGCAATATCTGATTTTAAAGACATGACATTTTTATGTGCACAAAGTTATTTTAGATCATCTATAGAGGCTTCATTAGTTTTAATTTGTTTCTTCTTCTGACCATCATACAGACAGATCATGCTACATAATAGATCTGGCTTTAAAGGTAAAAGAGTGGAAATCACAGTTCCAACAGTTTAAAAAATCTCTAAAGCATTTATTGCTAGCTGATCATATGCAAGAGGGGACACCAGGAGGTGTGATGTAATACAGTAAGCCCCAACTTTTTTGAAACCGGGGACTGGCAAACCCATTCACCAACTTTTGGTGGACCAGTTACATTTTATCTGCATATTTTCATATCATTATGCAAATGGTGAATATGCAAATATACATTGCTGTTCCACTAAAACCGCAGCCCCCAGTGCCAGCCCTAAACCCTAGAGTCCCCAACCCCTCCACTACCCCCCCCAGTGCCAGCCACTGACCCAAGTCCCCTGCACCCAACCCCCCTAGTGCCAGCCTCCCACCCTCAGAGCCCCCTCATGCCAGCTCCACATCCCAAATGCCTCAGTGCCAGCCCTCCACCCCTTAGAGTACCCCCACCAGACCCTTCCAGTACCAGCCTCCTGTTTCCAGGGCCCCACTGCACCCAACCCGCCAGAGCCTCCCCAGTGCCAGCCCCCAATATTAGCCCCATCCCCAGAGCTCCCAGTGCCAGCCCTGGCTCTACAGTCTCTCCCCCCCCCCCCCACTACTAGCTCAGCCTCCAGAGCCCCCCAGCACTAGCCTCGCACCTGGAGTCACGAGTGCCTGCCCTACCCTCCTCACCTAGCCTTGTGCTGCTGCCTGCGTTGCGGCAACTCTAAGGGCCGGGCTGGGATACACCGCCCAGCGCCTCCCCTCCTGCTGCAGCTGTTGGGAGAGGCATGTCCTGTTCTTCCTCTCAGCCCACCAGCACTGGGCAGGAGGGGCAGGGTCTACTCCAGCTGTGGAAGAGTGCTTCCCTGTGTGGCAGGAGGGCCGCGCAGCATGGGTCTCCTCCCGGTCGCAGAAGAGCACTTCCCTACGCGTCGGGGAGGAGACCCCACCCCTGCCTGGCACTGGTTGGCTGAGAGGCAGGGACGGACACATCTCTCTCAATAGTGGCTGTGAGAGCAGTGTGCCCTAGCCCCAAGAGCTGCCGCGGCCCGGCAGCTAGAGATCCGCGGCTCAGCGGTTGGGAACTACTGATGTAATATATAGGTTATACTGACACTCATGTAGGTTGCATAATGTACCGACCACCCCAAATTCATTGTAATTACAATCACGTAATCTAACCTCTTTCATATCACAGGCCAAATACCTTCTCTCAGTAATATCTGCATCAAGCCAGTGATTTCTGTTTTAACTAGACTGTACCTTTGAGAAAGAAATCCAGTCTTAATGAAAAGGTATCAGCCCACCACACTCACAGACTTTAGAACTGGAAGGAACCTCTGCAAGGTCATCAAGTCCAGTCCCTTGCATTCATGGCAGGAACAAACACCATCTAAACCATTCTAGATAAATTGTTCCAAATGAGGAGAAATGGACAGAGGAAATGGAATGGAATGAAATGGAATAAGGAATAAGGGATCTTTCAGAAAAGGCTTTATTTTCTGAAAGATCTGCGTCTAGACTGGCGCTTTTTTCCGGCAAAGCCCCGAGCCAGAAAAAAGTGGCAGCCATGTTTATGCTAATGAAGTGGGGGAGATTTAAATTCCCGCTTCATTTGCAATTGCGATGTGTCTAATTTGCATCCCTTTTACGGAAAAGGGATGCAGTCTAAACACATCCAGGAAGAAACTGAAATCCAGCATTAAAGAAATCCCATGTTACAAGCTGAAGAAAATTCTTGTAAAGCCTCAGACATGTTGTCCAGATCTCAGTTAATGATTGCTTATCATCAGCTGAGCAGAAAAAAATAGACCAACAGCTGCTACATATATTACTCTCAGCTTCCTTTTAACTGTTTTAAGGGACAAAAGGAGAAAGAGGCCCTATGGGGTTTCCAGGACTTCCAGGCCAAAAAGGTACTTCTGGACGAGATGGAGATCCAGGATTGCCTGGAGAGAAAGGAATTCAAGTATGTTTAACTTTGTTAGGAACTGTTTCATTCTTTGTTTTGAATTAATTTCTTATTTTACTAAAAAAATCAACACATTTCCAAATTTGTTTCCAGAGTAAACTGTTTTATATTTTTCTAGTAAGCTATGGGAGTATTACCACTGCTGAACAATGAAAAAAAAATCTAACCTTATACAGACTCTGCTCTTTATTGTAGGGATCTTAGGTGTATTTTCAGACTATACTTTACTATGATCCATTGTTTTCAATACTCTATTAATTTCTTCTTTTGTGCCCTAAAATTTGGTGTCTGCCCCATCGACTCGATTGACACTTCCTTCTACACAGAGTTCCTCTTGGTAAAATCCCAAGATCCCCCTTATCCACTGTTCTCTTCAAACTTTACTCTATTGAGTCTGTTTTCAGCTGAATATCACCTACCTCACTCAATGCTCTGACTGCTTTCCGGCCCTCATATGAAATCATTCCACTCACTCCCTTTTCAAGTCATACTTAAGGCATGACAATGTAACTTCTCCTTATCTCTCTGCTTTGGTCTCCTTTTAGTAATTCCTTGTGATTTCTTTACTCTACCCATCTACTCATCCAGCTCTCCATGACAGCATGCACACATTTCCCTTGAAAGCCCAGCTTAGCCATCCAACCCTGCAGGTATGTGGGGTGCTGACATATTGTATTTTGTGGTCATTTGTCTCTGCTATTTTTTTTAATTTTATTTAAGCAAAGAAACCTGAGACATTCAGATCATGGCTTTCCTCTCATAGCCACCTTAAATGAAAAGAGCCAGAGGAGGTCAGAGGATTAGGTTGTCAAAGGCCTAGCCAAGCAGTAACTGGTGTACAGTGCACTGAACAACTCAGACAGAGCTTCCATATGAATCTTCCTACCAGATGTTTCTATTAACACAACCTTGTTCAGACTAAGGATTTCCCTTTCAGTTGCACCTCAGGTGTACAAAAACATTTAGCTTTGATCAGGCCTTCAGTTTTAAAATGTTTATCAACAACTTCATTGTATATGGTCATAGACCAGACTCCATTCTCAATTACTCCTAGTCAACCCCATTGACTCCAGTGTCACTGAAAGTTAACCTTATCTTGTGGTGAACAACTTGCTCACGGTTTTTCCAAGCCGTTAACTATCTCTACAACTCAGGCCTGTATAGACCTCAAGCAGTCCTGTGGTTTGTCTCAAGGAGGATTCAAGTCCCTACCACTACTCTCACCTAGTTCCCTGCACAAAGCCCATTCACTCAGGCTTTGTGCACTGAATTGGGAGGGCGGGAGAGGACGGATTGAATCTCACCCAGAAAAGAAATTGGTTCTTCATTTCCAGGCCAACTACATACAGAATATAGTAAAGTTACTGAGCCTGCGTTGCAGTTTATAAAGTCTACCACAGAATTAATTTAAAAAAAAAAAACTTCACGTGTTGCCCATTTCATCATTTCATTGTGTAACCAAAGATTTTTCAAATATTGCTCTAATACTGTACTTACAGTTAATGAAAGAAAATGGGCTATTCTTATGGCACTTTTATATATTCTTGTTTAAAAATAGGGTGATGGGGGATCAGCACTGCCAGGAGATAAAGGTTTTCTTGGGCCACCAGGACTTCCTGGTTCAAGAGGGCCTGTGGGACCGTCAGGTTTGGGATTTCCTGGTCCACGAGGACTCAGAGGTCTCCCTGGAGACTCAGGAAGTACTGGTGTAAGTGGGCTACCTGGTCCAAAGGGTAAAAAAGGTAATTTTTAACCTTAACATTAAAAATTCTCTCATTGACTGTGTGCTAGGTAGAATTCAAATAGTCTGCTTTTCAACTGGGAGATCTGCATTCAGGAATAGACACAAGACATATGAAATGCTATGAATGCTGATTCACTAAGGTCCTAAACCTGCAAATCCTTAGGTGTGTGATATTGGTGGGAATACTCTCTGAACTGAGAGTATACATCTGAGTAAGGATTTGCTGGGCTGAGTGACTCAGAATATAGAACTATTGCTGATTCATGAAGTAGTGTTAGAATCATAGAATTCTAGAACTGGAAGGGACCTCGAGAAATCATCAAGTCTAGTCCCCTGTCCTCATGGCAGGATATAGAATAACCTATTTGCATTGGTTCTGTTTGCAAAGAATAACTTCTGAGAACTTGCACAGAGAAAGTGGAATAACATGAAAAAAAGAAATAGATCAAAGTAGTAAAACTGAGATTAGTAAACACATTGTACCTATATTTCTATAGGCTACATTTTTCAGTATATACAGTATAATATTTAATCTAAAACTGCTGTTCAAGTTAAATCTCTGATATACAGGCAGTCCCCGGGTTACGTACAAGATAGGGACTGTAGGTTTGTTCTTAAGTTGAATTTGTATGTAAATCGGAACTGGTACATATTGTAGGGGAAACTCTAGCCAAACATTTCTCCAGAGCTCAGTTTTATTCTCCCACACCTCACTTCCCTCAGGCCTTTATTCTCAAGCTGAGGTGTCTGCTGAGAAAAGCCGCTCCGCGTCTCCCTGGTCTGCTGGGGGGAAGCAGCTAGTGCGGGTTGCCTCACCCTGTTTGTAAGTAGGGATCTGATGTATGTCAGATCCATGTAACCCGGGGACTGCCTGTATTTTCAGTTTTTCTATTTTCACTGTATTCCTGTTAATCTAGCTAATATATCTTGCTCTTTTAATACAAATTGCACTATATGGAAACCTAATTCAGTCTAATATTATTTGGTTAAATCTTTTCATTTTCCCCAGACTTTAATACATCCAAATACAGTAACAGCTATGTTATCTAGATTGTTACAAACTGGAAAGCTCTGTAAACTGGCATTTCTGATCTTCAGTAGAGTCCAGCTGGTGCAGAGCCAGCAGGTTCTCTACCTGGCTCTGCGTAGCTCCCCAGAAGCAGTGACTTGTCCCTTCTGCTCCTCTGCTCCTAGGCAGAGGAATACCTGTGGTAGGCTCTATGTATTGCCATTGACCAGAAAACTAGGAGCAGCTAGGATGAAAACATGTTTTCATCTACATGTATTTCCAGTGAATGTAGATTTTTTTTTTTTAAAGCAAGCAGATAATTAAATGTTAATAGTGAAGTGATTTTGCACTTCTTTTTTATGGTAAATAAGTTATGGTTGAATTCCAGTTTTCCATGTTACTGATTTCTTCCCTCATGATCTTTTCAATTCTCTGTTACTGCTAAAGATCTCTTACCTTGTGCTAGAGGACTTGGCTTTTAATTAAACGCCTTTATTGATTTATCAAACAACTTATGAATGACAGACTTTCTTCCATGTTTGACTTACTCAAACACCAAACCTTGGTGAATTTTTCCAGTTCTTGGACCTTCATAGAATAGTAGGACTGGAAGGGACCTCGAGAGGTCATCGAGTCCAGTCCCCTGCCCTCATGCCAGAACCAAATACTGTCTAGACCATCCCTGATAGACATTTATCTAACCTACTCTTAAATATCTCCAGAAATGGAGATTCTACAACCTCCCTGGGCAATTTATTCCAGTGTTTGACTCCCCTGACAGTTAGGAACTTTTCACTAATGTCCAACCTAAATCTCCCTTGCTGCAGTTTGAGCCCATTGCTTCTTGTTCTGTCCCCAGAGGCCAAGATGAACAAGTTTTGTCCCTCCTCCTTATGACACCCTTTTAGATACCTGAAAACGGCTATCCTGTCCCCCCTCAGTCTGCTCTTTTCTAAACTAAACAAACCCAATTCCTTCAGCCTTCCCTCATAGGTCATGTTCTCTAGACCTTTAATCATTCTTGTTGCTCTTCTCTGGACCCTCTCCAGTTTCTCCACATCTTTCTTGAAATGCAGTGCCCAGAACTGGACACAATACTCCAACTGAGGCCTAATCAGTGCAGAGTAGAGCGGAAGAATGACACACACCTGTTAATACAACCCAGAATCATGTTTGCTTTCTTTGCAACAGCATCACACTGCTGACTCATTCAGCTTGTGATCCACTATGACCCCTAGATCCCTTTCTGCCGTACTCCTTTCCAGACAGTCGCTTCCCATTCTGTACGTATGAAACTGATTGTTCCCTCCTAAATGGAGCACTTTGCATTTGTCTTTATTGAACTTCATCCTATTTACCTCAGACCATTTCTCCAATTCAGTGCTAGATAAAGTCATTCTTCTGCTCTACTCTGTGCTGCTTAGGCCTCACTTGTATTGTGTCCAGTTCTGGGCACCACATTTCAAGAAAGATGTGGAGAAATTGGAGAGGGTCCAGAGAAGAGCAACAAGAATCATAGAATCTCTTTTCTAAACTAAACAAACCCAGTTCTTTCAGCCTTCCTTCATGGGGATTATTAAAGAATGATTAAAGGTCTAGAGAACATGACCTATGAAGGAAGACTGAAAGAATTGGGCTTGTTTAGTTTGGAAAGGAGCAGACAGAGGGGACATGACAGCGGTTTTCAGGTATCTAAAAGGGTGTCACAAGGAGGAGGGAGAAAAATTGTCACAAGGAGGATAGGACCAGAAGCAATGGGCTTAAACTGCAGCAAGGGAGGTTTAGGTTAGACATTAGAAGAACTTCCTAACTGTCAGGGTGGTTAAACACTGGAGATATTTGAGAACAGGTTAGATAGGCATCTGTCAGGGATGGTCTAGATGATACTCGGTCCTGTAGTAAGGGCAGGGGACTGGACTCGATGACCTCTTGAGGTCCCTTCCACAGTTCTAATGTCCTTTGATTCTATGAAATTCTACTTTGAATAACTGACAACTATCACACTCACTTCTGTTTACTATCACAATCCAGACAGGGTGAACAGTATTTATCAAGTGCCCTTTTGGTTCTATACTGCATGCTCTGCTATCACACTGAATTGTTTCTCTGCAGAGCGTAAAGATATTTAAGAAGCAAAGGGAACATTTCAATTAATAGTAAATTATCCCTAATATCTCTATGCTGACGATGCTGTTGATCCTGTAATACTAAATTTGTCAAAACGTGCTCTGGGGACTAGAAACTAATCCTAACTCTAAACATCTCTGATAACAGATTAGCAGATCATGTCATTTCAGTGTTAAGGCAGCTTTCACCAAGAACAAAATTCTGTGATGCAATGTAGCAGTTAGTGGATATTGTGGATTTGCTTTAATAGTAAGCAAAGCAGAAATATACACATGTGAGATTAGAATGTCATCTCTCCACTTCCATTTCCTCTCAACAATATTTAACAACAGTATTTTTACTGCTTACACCACAGAAAATAAAAATAAATTTATTATTTAATCTCTGCAGAATATATCCCCTCCACCAACGTTACTGGTGATCAGTATAAACTTACATCAAATAAATAGGGTTGCCAGGTGTCTGGTATTGACCCAGACAGTCTGATATTTTCACCTCCTGTCCAGTAAAAAAAATTCAAAAAATACTGGACACCTAAAATGTCCAGTAATTTCTGGGGGGGGTTTCCCTGCCAGGAGGTAAAAATACCAGACACCTGACAACCCTACGACACACTCAGCAACTGGGCCCAGCCCCCACATCCTCCGGCCCACCGCCCCGCCTGCTACCTGGTTCCTTCTGGCTCAATCAAGAAAACAAGATGGCTGCCCGCAAAAAGCCTAAAGACCTAAAGCAAGGGGAAGCAATGCCTTCCCTGGGTCTTAGTTCTCAACTTCTGCCCTCTTCCTATCCCTATTCTGATTCTGCACGCACTTAAAGGGGCCATACTGTTTTAATGCTGTTTTATTTATTTTTGTTTTTTGTTTTTTTGCTCAACAACTTCAGTCTCCCCCTATTTTTCCCCCTCAACAGAATTTTGTTCCTGGTGTGGGTTTTTTTTTGTGGGGGGTGGAGGGTCAGTATTTTTGGTTAAACCATCTGGCAACCCTACAAATATATAACCAGAACATTAAAATTAAAATACCCCTCAGCTTAAAGAGCATGGAAATAATTACTTGAATAAATATTCCATAAACCTTACAATTTGTACAGTTAATGTCAAGAGTGACTAGTTCATGAACCTTATAGTAGATAATCAAACTTGCTTTATTCATGCACAGTACCTGCATATTGTATTTATTCTCTTGTTTCAGGTGACACCCTCTGTCGTTTTCCACAATATCCTGGAAGTCCAGGCCCTCCAGGTTTTCAAGGGGCTCAAGGTCTGTTTTCTCAGAGAGGGAAACAGGGGGTTATTCTATTTCTTAATATAATTTGCTATCTATCTTTAAATGATGCTGAGTTGCTATTAAAAACTTGGTAATAGTAAGCCACATCACAACAGATCTAAAAAATGGAAACTTGTAAATAGCCAAAAATAATTACAACCACAAATAATTAAGGACTAGCCTTGGGCCCAGCTTGCATGGTCCCCAAAGAGCTTTAGTTGAGCTGCTGTCCTGCAGCAGTTTAGTATGGTCACAAGTGACCACATGAAGAGAATAATCTCTGTAGGGCTGCTAAATCCCACGCTGATGCAAGTAGCTTGGACAGGGCGGGAAGAACCTTGGCTCCATCCGCTAACTGAAGTACCTACAGCCACATGCTGAAGAAAGTAAATATGCTGGGCATAGACCTGACACAGAGCATTTCCCCTTCTTATCAAGGAGGAGCCCAGAAGGCAGAGTGTTACTTTAAGAATCAATCTGCTTCAAGGATAGAACAACATTGCATCGGTATGGCCCTTGCTTGGAACTCCTGGGACCACCACAACTTCGCCTTAAGAACTCTGTTTTTACTAGGCAGATGGGTCCAAATTCTTCCTTTGTCTAATTCCATTTTCAATGCACAGAGTTAAACCAGGGATTGACCAACAGTCTTCTCAATGTTGTTTGTGGTCAGCTCCAAAAGGTTAGGAAAATTTTCAAGAAAATAGAGTAGTGTTTCTCAAAGGGTCAGTGGACCATTCTGAGAAAGCTGCTACTGGGCCGCTCCCAGCTTGCTTACTTACCGACTCCGCAATCACAGAGCTTTACGGTTCCCATTGGCTGCTGTTTGCCATTTGCAGCCAAGGGGAACCACATGAAGGAGCATGACCCGAGCCGTTGCTTTCTGCGGCTCCTCCTTGCTGCAAACAGTGAACTGCAGCCAATGGGAGCCATAAGGCTCCATGGCTGTGGATCTGGTAAGTAAATAAATCAGAGTGATCTAGTAGCAGCTTTCTCAGAGTGGGTCCACGGACCATTTTGAGAAACTCTGAAATAGAAAAAAAAAATCACTGAAAGCAAGTGAACACAGTGGACAACATTGAGAAAACTGTTGGTCAATCCCTGGTTTAACTCTATGCATTGAAAATGGAATTAGACAAAGCAACATGATAGAAATTTTTAACGTTTTTGCTAGTCTGAGACCTCGCACACCCTAAAGTGAAAGAACGGGGATCAATACATTTTTTCATCTTTGCCATCTCAGCATAAATTGGGAGGGAGTGCAGAACATAAGAAAACTATGACCTTTACCCTGTAAATCTTGGGATTCATCGATTATATCCTATTTTACTATCTATATACACAAAAAAATTGAATTATGACCCTAGTAATTTTACAATATATTCTGTTGTAGTTGTTTCACTATCATAAGGCCCAGAGTAACCCCTTCTGGAGATTTAAAGACAAGTGCACAATGCTGGGATTCAAGCTGGCAGGTGCCACTGTGCCAACTTGGGTACCTTTCCCACAATGCTCAGAAAGATATGAAAGCACTAGCTGAAAAAAGGAAGATTTGCATGTAAATGCTATATGATACAATGTGCAACGAAGATGTATCATTATTTACTTACATCTCCTTTTAATTCTCGGAGCTTTGATAGGTTACAAACTGAACCTATAAAATCTGTATCCTTTCTCTGTTCTCAGGATCAAAGGGTGTAAGAGGGCCCCCTGGTCCTCCTGGGCCAAATGGCTTTGATGGGCCAAAAGGCCAGCGAGGCAAACCAGGCACATCAGGAGCTGAAGGGCCAGAAGGTAAGTGAGAGAGGGAGAATTTTTTTTTAAACCATGAAATGGCCCTCGACCCAAAAAAGGTTCCCCACCCCTGCTTTAAAACATACCATTTGACCTATTGCCTACTTTGATTTTTAAATTTGATAGGCTTTCGGGGCAATGCTGGTGATCCAGGCGAAGAAGGTGAAAGAGGTTCTTCTCTTGATGGTGCCCCAGGTCTGCCTGGCACTCCTGGATGGGCAGGTCAGAAAGGTGTTCCAGGTGATACAAGTTATGGTCCTCCAGGAATTCCAGGCAATAGAGGATTGCCAGGATTACCTGGTTCACAAGGCATACGAGGTGACACAGGTGCTCCTGGGATACAAGGTATGAGTCATTTTTCCATTGCATTTAAAGCACAAAGACAGAGACACTGGGCTTGGTGCTGATTTCACTCTTATGTGGCTCCCCAATGACTGATGTGAAGTTACTCCTGATTAGCGTAAATGAGAGCAGAATTAAGTCCCACATATTTATTATTTTAATTTGTTGTCCAGGACACAGACACTAGTACAGTATAATAAAAAACAGGGCTCATTTCATACAACAGGGAACAGTCAACTAGCAGCTTATCTAACTGTGTTTATAAACATTAGAAATATAGTAAGGCCTTTACAAAAGTTATGGGCATTCAGGAAGTAGCTGGCAGGAGATGCAGACAGACAGCATGATACACAGTGTCCAGTGCTGAGTCCCTTATTGCCTATGTGAGAGCATCCAGGTATTTTCCCCTCTGTAACACTGGTATGTATGTATGCACAACCTCTTCTGAAACACATTCAAAATGCATGTACCTAAGCCCCTTTGAACTTTCACTTGGCCAAAAATTCTGTCTGCATCCATTGATCAGTATCCATTGATGCTAACTGGATTTTTCCCTGAAGGAAATCACAGTCAACTTGGGGCTCTGCTCACACTCCAGCCCCACGGCCGGGGGGAGGGGTTGTTAGCATGGAGGCTTGAAGACTTGCAGGGTTGGAGCACGAGCACTATATATCTGGATCTAAGAATGCCAAGGGTCAGATCTAGCCTGTGGCTTGTAGGTTCCCCACCTCTGCAGTAAGGCGTCAAACTTTTTTTTAATCAAAATCTGCACAGGTAGGTAAAATGCAACAATAGTTGACTAGATTGCCCTGAGCTCTAAAGTGGGAAGTTTTTGTCACAAGTAATATTGCTTCTTTTTAGGACAGGCTGGTACACCAGGATTTCCAGGTGCTAAAGGTCTGAGAGGCAGAAAAGGTGAAATAGGAGCTCCAGGTTATCCAGGCTCACCTGGTCAGCCATGTCATAAAGGCATACAAGGGCCACCAGGACAGCCAGGAGTTATTGGACAACAAGGCTCTCCAGGTAAACAGTGCTCATAACATTACATACAGCTCTGAACTTTGTGCATCTTTTTAAACTGAGTATCTACAAACTCAGTAATCCCCCATTCATTGTGTTTTAATACTATGAAAGAGTTAAGTATTTCCTACATTATAATCTTCACTAACTGAAGTGTGTTGATTATTTAGCATGAAGTTACTGCCTAGGCTTAGGTAGCAGCGTTACTGAGTAAGGCTGATGGAAAAACAGCCACTGAAACTGTTTTTCTATGGAAAATTTAATTTAACTAAATTAATTTCCAGGGAATTTTTTTGTCAAATACCAAATGCTCAAAAATCTACATATTGAATCTGAAACACTAAAATATTGATGGGGCCAAGCATTCCTATGAACTACTTTCTTCCACTCCCAGGAGGTAGTATGGCAGTGTTTACAAATATTTCAGTTTTCAGCCCAGTGTTCTCAACATTCAAGTTTCGACCAAAAATCAATTATTTTTTAAGATCCCTTCCCCCTGCATCCTTTTTATGACCATCTATATTGCTGAATCTTCTTGTATTCTTCTCTGTATAAAGTAAGTAAATAAACTGTTTTGTTTTTCAGGATTACGGGGGTTTAAAGGTCAGAAAGGAGACATGGGCCCACAAGGGCCAGTTGGAATGAAAGGCCTACCAGGAACTCGAGGTGTAATGGGGCCCCCTGGTCTTCCAGGTCCCCAAGGATATCCAGGGCTTCCTGGGAACAATGGATTACCTGGATTCCCAGGCCAACGAGGTATATGAAGTCTAATGTGGTCTATCACCCTGTTATCTATAAATCTTTAAAGAGCTGCTCTTTCTTAAGAGATGTCAGTGGAGTACTTTGCAGCCCTTATTCCCTTCCAGCTTCTTGTACATGCATTAGTGAAAAAAACAGATACCATTGCGGTTTTTTCTGTCTCTTGGAGCAAAAGTTAAGCCAACATAAAGAGTTTGCAGCTTGCAGGAGCTCCAAAAGGTTCTTTGGTTTTGGTTGTTTTGTGAAAGCTACAGCTGTGAATCCTTTCTAATGCTACCAGCTTTTGGGGAATTGCTTATTAAAACCATAGCAACAATTGAGATTTCAAAGCAAGGTACTTTACTGGGGCACTAATTAAGGGTACGTCTAGACTACATGCCTCTGGCGACACAGGCATGTAGATTAGACTACCTGGCATAGGAAAATGAAGCGGCGATTTAAATAATCGCCGCTTCATTTAAATTTACATGGCTGCCGCGCTGAGTAGTCTGGAAGTTCCGCGGTCGACATCAAAGGCATTTGTCGACCTCCCAGGTATGCCTCCTTTAAATCACCACTTCATTTTCCTATGCCGGGTAGCCTAATCTACATGCCTCTGTCGCCAGAGGCATGTAGTCTAGACGTACCCTAAGTGCCTTAAAAATTAATAAATGCATTTACAAGAAGCTGAAGGACTTTCCTCAGACTTAAAAAGAAATACTCATTAGGCTTAAAATTAAGCCTGAAATAAGTGTTTAAACCCAAAAGTATGAGAATTTCCCAGAAAGTTATGAGAGAATGAAAATATGGGAGGTTAATTGTTTTCTGTGGGCTGGCTGCTCTAGTCTGTTAGGCCTCTTTATACCACATAATGTTACAAAATAGCTTAAAAATGGCTGGACTTAGCTAGCAGAGAATTCATCTTACAAAGGAGGATTCTGCCAGAGGAAATCAGGCAGACAGAGCCATATTCCTGGTGCTGGAGGAAGATGAGAGAAGGAGTGTATCAGGAAGTCCCAAAAGAGTCCCAGTGTACTTGATCTTCCACTGATATAAAAAGTCTGAGTGAAAGAGCAGTGGAAATCTAGCACTTGTCAGGGCTGAGTGGGAGGGTATCACAGTGCCTCAACTGGCTCCCTGTGGTGGCTACCTTCCACACTTGAGTGCCTGTCCATGTGTAAACCTCTGTACACTCAGACACTGTTATGAGCATCAGCTACATACCTAGACAGTGAAAGTTTGCTACAGCATGTTCTATAGTTAACCAGCTTTACTGTAGTATTAACTAAATACAACTGCTATTAGGTTTCATATATTACTAAATTTTTCAAAACTCACTCTAAACGATTCCCCTTTTGCTTTGCACTCTTGTCAGAATATAAAGGCAGAACCACAGTAAACTATTAGATAAGTACATCAGTATCTTAACATTACCAGGAAGCAAAGGGATCCAAGGCATCCAAGGTTTCCCCGGAATCCCAGGAAAACAAGGACAGACTGGAATCCCAGGTAGAAATGGTGAACAAGGAGAAATGGGCCCAAGGGGGTCTACTGGAGAATGTGGAGCTAGAGGGCAAAAAGGTATAGAGAATACATATTACCTTTGCATTTCAATTGTGAGATTTTTCAATTGTTGTTTATAAAATTGTTTTAATTTCCTGTTTGTTAAAAAAGGCCTGTAATCATTTCACTGTCATTTTCAAATGGAGTTACACTAGTGTAAATACCTGTAAGGAGAATCAGGTGGTGTGGTTAATGAGTCTAGCTTTTTATGCACCTGTTTTTATGCACCTCTTACACTCACTGCTGTGTTTAGCACAGCACTTTCTCAAATGGAGATAAAGGGCAATTTTATGTAATTACCAGCCGATTTGAAACAGGGCATTCTTTAAGGTTCTGTCATGTGTTTCTCTTTGTCTAATGTATATATAAAACCTATTGGCAATATTGTGTCCCAGCATTAAAACAAAGAATAAGGTTCAGCCAGGCAAATACCTAGTCAGTGAAAACGAAAAGATCTGCACAATGGCAAGTCTAGTAGCCCTCAGGCAAACTACTCCACCCAGACAGGAAGCTATTCCCAAATTACACAGAGTATAGTGGTTCACTAATTAATATAAAATGGGGAAAGACAAAACAATTTCAGTGCTAAACTTTTTTAAATAAATGGGACTTACATTATGTTGTAGAGAAGAAAAAAGAGCAATCTGTAAAACTTGGGGAGAGAGTCCAAGCACTCAAATATATATTTAATGCAGTTTATGGTATAATGTGTCAGTTAGCATTTGTATACATTCAATATGTTCTTTTTGAAAGGTGAAAGAGGTGGTCAAGGAAACAGTGGTATCGTTACCTTACAGCTGGAAAAAGGACAAAAAGGGGAACAAGGGCTTCGTGGTGAGGCTGGATTTCCAGGGGAAACAGGTGAGAGAGAGAGTGTCTACCTACCCTCTTCCGCCTCCCCCCACTTCTCTCGGCTTTCAAAAATTGCAGGTTAAAAACTGTGAACACAAATATTAGCATTTGACCATCCGACTATCCAACTGTGCTCATATATCTTTTTTACTGGTATAAATACTATAATTTCTGTCCACAATTTATTGTGTACTTCATGAATTGGGAATGCACAAGTGTACCCACAAAAAATGTGGTGCTAACCTAGAATACCCAGGGATCAGGATAAATTCATAATAATCTTTTGTTATGGAATAATTTCAGGTGAAAAAGGCAGTCCTGGAATCAGAGGGATCCCAGGCTCACCAGGCAAAGATGGACTCCCAGGAACTCAAAAGGGTGAACCTGGTGCTAAGGGACAGATTGGATTTGCAGGGCTGCCAGGTTCCCCAGGATTGGCAGGTTTAAGAGGAATTACTGGTTTTCAAGGACAACAGGGTGACCAGGTAAGCTAAGAGCAACAGTGCAAGCTAATTGGTTCATAGCACTGTACTTCATTTTAGAACCCAAGAAACATGGCTGGCTGTAGAACACAAGCCATAGAAGCATGTTCATAGAGTTCACATGCTGGGTCACAGCTAACTCTGACGGGAAGAAGCTAGGGCTGGAGATGGGATAGATCACTTACTAAATTGCGCTGTTCTGTTAATTGCTTCTGAAGCATTTGGGACTGGCCAGTGTTGGAAGGCAGGCTATACTGTACAAGCTGTAAATTGGAGTTGAATTTAGGCTTTAATATTCATCTATCCATTATCCTCAGTGTTTGATCTATATTTTACCAAATTACTTCTGAAGGAAAGTGTAAAGCTATGTATTTCAGATGATAGCTGCTTGTTTACGATGTAAAACTGGGAAATTCTCTCTTTTTAGAGGGACGACACCAATTTCTTAGAGGTCAACAAAAAGGAGATAAAATGCTTTTCATTCATTTGTGTACTTGTATAAAATACATTACTAAAGTACCACTTTTGAATTAAACTGCTCTTCCATTAGTTAAATCATCTAGAGGGAATTTAAGGTATTTGAGTCAAATTCTAGCCTTAGTTGTATATACACAGATCCCATTCAAAATAATTGGTGTTTCCTGCATATCTCTAAGGTCAGCATTTGGCAATTATTTGACAAAGACTAGTGGATTACTCCTTAGAAAAATCATACAGTGAAGACAAAATAATATTTCAATACAGTATCAGTCTCTTCATTTTTGCAACAAAGTCAAATGATTTTACAGATAGTGTCTGTTATGTATGTTATATTTTAAACACAGTGTTTTTTAATAATGCATCAGGGTGAGCAAGGTTTACCAGGAGTACGTGGAAGTCCAGGACTGGTTGGAGCAAAAGGACCTAAAGGTAATGAGCTGAAACATACAAGCTGTATCATATAAGCAGTATTTTGTTAGATTGCTGTATATACATTGAGTGCACCCTCTGGAAAGGAGAGACAGAGATACTTCACATGTGAAAATCATTAGACACAAGACTGTTTTATGGCTAAACAAAAAGTTTTCATTTAACTATAGTAAGATATTTGGGAATTTCTCATTTTTTTTTAAAAGGCTCATAGGAAGTTTGAAGATGACTTTGTCTTAGCTAAATTTCACAAGATCACACTTCAGCCAAAAAAATAAGTAAAACATCAGTGCAGCTATAAAATATCATCGGCTCAAATGACAGAATGATTATCTAGATCAGTATTTCTCAAACTGTGGGTTGGGACCTCAAAGTAGGTCCCAACTAGGGGTGTGAGAGGTTAACTGATAAATATCAACCTGAACAGGTAATGCTTACTGGTTCCAGTTAACTGGTTACCAGTGGGGGCTGGAGCAGCTCCCCACCTGCTGCAGGCAGGGGGCTGCTTCAGCTGTGCAGGGGACCCACAACAGATGGGTCCCCACAAGCAGGAGCTGCTCCAGCAGACAAAAGCTGCTCCAGACAGAGGCGCCTGAGCTCCCTGTGGTCAGAGTCTGCTCTAGCAGAGGCTGGGAGCCAGCTCCTGCCCCAGCGCAGGAGCTCAGAGCGGGGCAGAAGCCCTGTGGGCTGTGGGTAGAGCAGTCACGGGAGTCAAAGCCAAAGCCCAAGTCCCACCACTCAGTGCTGAAGCAAACGCCCAAGAGCTCCAACTCTGGCTGACAAGGCTCTGGTTACAGGCCTCCCACAGGCGGCTGACGCCCTTGGGCTTCAGCTTTGTCCCGTCCTCCACCCACCTAGGGTGGCAGGGCTCAGGCTTCAGTCCTCCCTCTGGGGTCATGTAGTACTTTTCATTTATAGAAGGGGGTTGCAGTGCAATCATGTTTGAGAGCTCCTGAACTAGATGGCTTTTGTGATTAAATTTGTATTAGTTTTCAGATACTTAGTATGTATATGACCTAAGGAGAAAGGGGAACATCACCCATGAATGGAAGAGAAAAAAGGAGAAAAAGTACCTGCATGAAAAGATGGACTTGAAACTATTGTGTAGACAACTAAGAGACAGATTTTCAAAAGTGGCCTCTAACTGTGCATTTGTTTTTGGCCACGTGTTACCAACTTACGATTTTATTATAAGTCTCACAACAAGGGTGTGAGGTTTTTTTAAAGATTCTCATTATATTTCGGTTTCTGCCTCCAGACTCATAAGTTTACCTGAAAGGGGATGCAGGGATGGCCCAACAGAATGGGAGAATGTAATGGGGAGATGACTGAGGAGAAAGCGAGGGAAATATGGATGGGATACATTGGGGCTTATCGACATGATGGAGAAGATCGACGCTGCCGCAGTCAATCTTCCAGGGTTCGAATTAGCAGGTCTAGTGAAGACCCTTCAATTCAAATTGAGAGGGTGCTCCTGTCAGTGCTGCTAGTCCAACTCCTCATGAGGAGTAAGGGAAGTCAACGAGAGCATGTGCTCCCTTTGACCTCCTGCTGTGTGAATGGTGCCAAAACGTGATTTAAGATACTTCAACTCCAGCTATGTAATTAACGTAACTGGAGTTGCCTATCTTAAGTTGACTTTCACCTTTTAGTGTTGACCAGGCTTTAGAGAATAGGAGGAGGCAGTATATTGTGGGGAAGCACAGAGAGGAGAATTAGAGTGGTGGCAGCTGCCTATTGAGAGAGAGAGAGAATAGGAGCTCCCCATATTCCTGGGGATAGAAGACATGTATTTCTGGCTGAATATTGAACATGTGAATGTGATATGATCTCACATCAATTGGGATGGGAAAGTTCGTAAAAAAAGGTGAGAGCATCAGAAAATGTCCAAAAACCAACACAATTTATAATTAATTTTAAATCTCGTACTTTTAAGGACATCTAGCTTAAGATTTTTGAACTTTTGGGACAATTGTAAATCTGATATGCGTGCACAAATTTGATGGCTTACAAACAAAAACAACCTTGGACATCATGTTTTCATGTGCAATTTTTGATATTCCTATTTAGAAGATGGGCTGAGACTACTTTAAAATTTTGACCTTGAATAGTTAAAGTCAGTTTATTAAGAACAGAAAATATTCGCTGTATTGTTCTATTGTTTCAAGCTTTCCTAGAATATGATTTTCTTGTTAAAACTAGTTCATACAAAAATAAAAGTGTAAAAGAATGTGAAAATCAGTGATTTATTTGGAACAAAAATATAGACACAGTGACATTCCTTCCCTAGATTATCTTTTCCATGATACTAATAATTCAGCATCTTCCCAGGAATGTGTTTTCACAAAAAATAATTTATGAACAAATATTTGAGACAAAGAGAAATCCTTGACCAGAAACAAGTTAAAAGGGATTAAAACATGTAACTGAACATTTTTTTAAAGAAACTGGCTCGAGTAGATGGTAATCAAGGCATTGAACAGAATCTTCTCTGGTGAGAGGAATAACTGAACATTTGAATTCTAGAGTCGTCTCAATACATTTCACAGAAAACTCAGGCAGAGAAACTAGAGGCCAGCAGGAGTGTGGGGGAGATATTAGATACCTGCATAATATTCTGAGGTGAAAGGACTGTGGATCCATGAATTCAATATAAGAGGAGTTTGAAGAACAGCAACAACAGAAAGTGAGGAGTCTGTTAGGGAAGAAGCAAAGTAGGGTAGAGAAGGTCAGGCACAGCATCAGAAACCCAAAATTTGTTCTTAAGGAGCCTTTTCAGAGTAAACAGACTTAAGCTCTGCTGATTTCCCTTGCCTTTTCAAAGTTATTTCTGTAAGACCTGTGTGTGCTTTATTATAATACTTGGCCTTTAAGTAGGGCCAAATACTGAGATCCTTAGTGAGCTTTTACTCAGACAAATTCCCACACAACTTAATGAGAGTCATACAGAAAGTAAACTGAGTTGATACCTCAGAATATGGCTTTTGATCAGGCAGTCTGCAAATTAAATGTTGTACTAGGGCACTGGGATATGGCTCCACTGATTTAGGTTTTCAAGTTGCACCTGTCAAAAGCTATAGAATACCATTATTTTCAGAAGCTATTGCAATTTTCCCCTCAAAAACTGACCTTAAATGTTGCCATCATTATCTAATTAACTAGAAATAGATAGTGATGTTGTATTAATGCTGTGTCTACGTCCATTCTCATTTCTCTCCAAATGCAAAAATGAACTATTTCTACAGTCTAAAGCTTCCTGATTTCCAGGCAGTCATTTCAGTATTTCTCCTGTGTGTATTTTTCTATTAATTCTATCATTCACTAAATGTTTTATGCTACACTACTTATCTTAGTCCACAGCTTTAAGACTTGTGTGTGCATCTTGCTAGGCTAGAGATTTCATGAATAAATCACTAAGGGTATGTCTACACTACAGCGCTAATTCCAACTAACTTAGTTCGAATTAGTTAATTCAAACTAATCTAATTCGAAGTAACGCGTCTAGAACTAAAAACTAGTTCGAATTAGCGTTTTGCTAATTCGAACTAGCATGTCCACATTAAGTGGACCCTGAAGCGGGGTTAAGGATGGCCGGAAGCAGTGCCGGCAGGGCATCAGAGGAGGACTTAGAGCGTGGAGATGCTGTTTCATTTTAGAACCCAAGAAACATGGCTGGCTGTAGAACACAAGCCATAGAAGCATGTTCATAGAGTTCACATGCTGGGTCACAGCTAACTCTGACGGGAAGAAGCTAGGGCTGGAGATGGGATAGATCACTTACTAAATTGCGCTGTTCTGTTAATTGCTTCTGAAGCATTTGGGACTGGCCAGTGTTGGAAGGCAGGCTATACTGTACAAGCTGTAAATTGGAGTTGAATTTAGGCTTTAATATTCATCTATCCATTATCCTCAGTGTTTGATCTATATTTTACCAAATTACTTCTGAAGGAAAGTGTAAAGCTATGTATTTCAGATGATAGCTGCTTGTTTACGATGTAAAACTGGGAAATTCTCTCTTTTTAGAGGGACGACACCAATTTCTTAGAGGTCAACAAAAAGGAGATAAAATGCTTTTCATTCATTTGTGTACTTGTATAAAATACATTACTAAAGTACCACTTTTGAATTAAACTGCTCTTCCATTAGTTAAATCATCTAGAGGGAATTTAAGGTATTTGAGTCAAATTCTAGCCTTAGTTGTATATACACAGATCCCATTCAAAATAATTGGTGTTTCCTGCATATCTCTAAGGTCAGCATTTGGCAATTATTTGACAAAGACTAGTGGATTACTCCTTAGAAAAATCATACAGTGAAGACAAAATAATATTTCAATACAGTATCAGTCTCTTCATTTTTGCAACAAAGTCAAATGATTTTACAGATAGTGTCTGTTATGTATGTTATATTTTAAACACAGTGTTTTTTAATAATGCATCAGGGTGAGCAAGGTTTACCAGGAGTACGTGGAAGTCCAGGACTGGTTGGAGCAAAAGGACCTAAAGGTAATGAGCTGAAACATACAAGCTGTATCATATAAGCAGTATTTTGTTAGATTGCTGTATATACATTGAGTGCACCCTCTGGAAAGGAGAGACAGAGATACTTCACATGTGAAAATCATTAGACACAAGACTGTTTTATGGCTAAACAAAAAGTTTTCATTTAACTATAGTAAGATATTTGGGAATTTCTCATTTTTTTTTAAAAGGCTCATAGGAAGTTTGAAGATGACTTTGTCTTAGCTAAATTTCACAAGATCACACTTCAGCCAAAAAAATAAGTAAAACATCAGTGCAGCTATAAAATATCATCGGCTCAAATGACAGAATGATTATCTAGATCAGTATTTCTCAAACTGTGGGTTGGGACCTCAAAGTAGGTCCCAACTAGGGGTGTGAGAGGTTAACTGATAAATATCAACCTGAACAGGTAATGCTTACTGGTTCCAGTTAACTGGTTACCAGTGGGGGCTGGAGCAGCTCCCCACCTGCTGCAGGCAGGGGGCTGCTTCAGCTGTGCAGGGGACCCACAACAGATGGGTCCCCACAAGCAGGAGCTGCTCCAGCAGACAAAAGCTGCTCCAGACAGAGGCGCCTGAGCTCCCTGTGGTCAGAGTCTGCTCTAGCAGAGGCTGGGAGCCAGCTCCTGCCCCAGCGCAGGAGCTCAGAGCGGGGCAGAAGCCCTGTGGGCTGTGGGTAGAGCAGTGTTAAACAGTTAAACATTCGCGTAACCTAATATTTAACCGGTTAACTGATTCACAGGGATTTTACATCTCTAGTCCCAACTCCGTGTTAATGATGTTGCCAAGGCTGGCATTAGATTTATTGGACCCTGGAGTCAAAGCCAAAGCCCAAGTCCCACCACTCAGTGCTGAAGCAAACGCCCAAGAGCTCCAACTCTGGCTGACAAGGCTCTGGTTACAGGCCTCCCACAGGCGGCTGACGCCCTTGGGCTTCAGCTTTGTCCCGTCCTCCACCCACCTAGGGTGGCAGGGCTCAGGCTTCAGTCCTCCCTCTGGGGTCATGTAGTACTTTTCATTTATAGAAGGGGGTTGCAGTGCAATCATGTTTGAGAGCTCCTGAACTAGATGGCTTTTGTGATTAAACTTGTATTAGTTTTCAGATACTTAGTATGTATATGACCTAAGGAGAAAGGGGAACATCACCCATGAATGGAAGAGAAAAAAGGAGAAAAAGTACCTGCATGAAAAGATGGACTTGAAACTATTGTGTAGACAACTAAGAGACAGATTTTCAAAAGTGGCCTCTAACTGTGCATTTGTTTTTGGCCACGTGTTACCAACTTACGATTTTATTATAAGTCTCACAACAACGGTGTGAGGTTTTTTTAAAGATTCTCATTATATTTCGGTTTCTGCCTCCAGACTCATAAGTTTACCTGAAAGGGGATGCAGGGATGGCCCAACAGAATGGGAGAATGTAATGGGGAGATGACTGAGGAGAAAGCGAGGGAAATATGGATGGGATACATTAGGGGCTTATCGACATGATGGAGAAGATCGACGCTGCCGCAGTCAATCTTCCAGGGTTCGAATTAGCAGGTCTAGTGAAGACCCTTCAATTCAAATTGAGAGGGTGCTCCTGTCAGTGCTGCTAGTCCAACTCCTCATGAGGAGTAAGGGAAGTCAACGAGAGCATGTGCTCCCTTTGACCTCCTGCTGTGTGAATGGTGCCAAAACGTGATTTAAGATACTTCAACTCCAGCTATGTAATTAACGTAACTGGAGTTGCCTATCTTAAGTTGACTTTCACCTTTTAGTGTTGACCAGGCTTTAGAGAATAGGAGGAGGCAGTATATTGTGGGGAAGCACAGAGAGGAGAATTAGAGTGGTGGCAGCTGCCTATTGAGAGAGAGAGAGAATAGGAGCTCCCCATATTCCTGGGGATAGAAGACATGTATTTCTGGCTGAATATTGAACATGTGAATGTGATATGATCTCACATCAATTGGGATGGGAAAGTTCGTAAAAAAAGGTGAGAGCATCAGAAAATGTCCAAAAACCAACACAATTTATAATTAATTTTAAATCTCGTACTTTTAAGGACATCTAGCTTAAGATTTTTGAACTTTTGGGACAATTGTAAATCTATGATGATGACGATGACAACAGGTGTGGTAAAAGTCCTTAGGAAGACAGAATACCCAGACAGATGAAGATTCCAAAATGTTGATTGATACACTTGTTTTTAGTATGCTGTTGGCATATTTAACAGCCTGTTATGTTGTGTGTACAGGGGCTAGCACAACGGGGCCTATTCCCAAATAGTGCTTAGATGATACTGTCCACTTTTAATATAAAACCTTACCACAGTCACTTACAAGGAAGCTTTCCTTCCTCCCTCATTCTGTTTCCTAATATTAACTTATCAAGGACAGTTCTCTAGTTTGTGTAATTTTTTTTGTCCAATGTAATAAAATATTTTTTAAATTAAGAATTATTTTTATTATTTTTGCTATTAATATTTGTAAGATATTGTGCCTGCAACATTATCTATTTTTGGTTTACAGATGAAAAGGACACTGAGGTCTTACAAAATCATTTGTGTTTTTAACATTAATAGGTAACACAGGTGACTCGGGCAGTCACTGTGGTCCGGTTGGTCAAAGAGGGCCTCCAGGAGATCATGGATCACCAGGTATGTTTGGGTTATTAAGAGTAAAATTAGTGCTTACATACATTTGGAATGTGCCATAGGGTTTTTTCATCTTTTGTTGCTTACAGTAATTGCAGCCTCATATTAATGACTAATGCACAGTGGCTTTTGGGCCTTTTGAAGTTCAGGGCCAAAAAGGCCACACTGTGTATAAAACAGATCACAGATCAGCACATGAGTAGGGGTCTCCTACTGTCCACATGCTTCAATGATGAGCACTCTGTTAGCCACCAGAAAGTTCTGCCTCTAGGAACAGACTCTTCTTCTTCGGCCACATTGAAGAGGAAATTAAAAAGGAATATCAGTAATTCCATGCCCTGTCTCTACTTTAAATAAATTCACCGTCCATATATCAGAGAGTCCAGAGCAAACTTTAAATAAATTCACAGTCCATATATCAGAGAGTCCAGAGCAAAACAGCACTAATGCACATCTGTATATCTGAAATGTTGAGTTATTGCTATTCCTTTATTCAGGACTGTGACATGAGGGAGCATATTATTCTTGGCATTTTTTAAAACATACCGGAGTGAGCCAGGGATGTCTTTCAACCTGAAATTGTTATATTTATCTTTCTTTAAGGGCCCTGTGGCTTCCCAGGAGAACAGGGTTTACCAGGCCTCCAAGGGAAACCTGGAAGACCAGGACTGAAGGGGGTGCCTGGATTCCCAGGAACACCAGGCTTGCCTGGTAAGGTCAAGTTTAAAAGAAAAACAGAAATAAATGAGAATTACTTCAAAATGGTCAGAAAGTGATGCAATTCAAAACCATGACACTGATGAAACTGGCAATAGAATATGGTGTCAAAGGCAGCACAAAAGCTTGTATCAGAAACTATTGGAACAAAATATCAGAGGTTCTTCCAAGATGGGCGACAAAGGAGATTCAAGGAAAGCTGACAATTCTTATGGATAGAATTTTTGACCCCGAGTGCCTGTTAATAACCTTTGTGTATTGCATAATATGGGAGAAACAACAGCTAAGTGGGTCAGGAGTAAAAAGGTTTGCATAGTAAAAACGTTTTCCACTTTCAGGTGCCATGTGTGGTCCGGGATTGCCAGGAGTTCCAGGTGAACAAGGTAATACCGGGTCCTTAGGAGCTGCTGGATTGCCAGGGTTACCTGGTCCCCCAGGCAGGAAAGGTAAGTGTTATAAACAGCAACCTTTAGTGGAATATTACAGTTCATGTAATAGTGTCAGAATTACTGGTCATTTTGTGCAATAACAAATGTAACTGAAAATAGAGAAGGATTTCCAAAAGTGCTTAGTGTTGGTCTAAGTGTGCTCCTATTGAAATCAATAGTAAAACTCCCTTTCACTTAAGTAACTAGAAGAGTTGGGTGAGCACATTTGAAAATCCCACCCCCAAATCACAAATGTTAACCAAAGAAATCAGTCTAAAGTTAATAAAGAATCGGAGACATAATCGTTAACTTCTGATTCAGCTGGTTTAACTGAGGGCAGGATTTAACACAAGAACAGTAAAATTGATATTTCACTAACACTTCAGTTACAGTAATTTGCTTTCTGGCCATGTAGTGCCACTGTTACTCTGCATACAGCAACATGAATGCAAATAGCTGAGCACAGTGTAGCAGAACACAGTAAATATGGGGAAAAATTGCTTGTTCAAATATACAAAATCTCAAATGATGGACTGATGCATTTTATCAAAATGTGATAAAATAAGTACTGTTTGCAAGACACTTGATCAATTGGCAGATTACATTTAGAAATACTTCCAGTCAATAATAAATTATATCTATCATGGCAATCCTTATATTTAGATTGGAAAAAACAGCATCTAAAAATCTCTTCCCCCATAAAGGATATAATATAAATGTTATATAGTGTAGCTAATTAAAATTTAGCATATATATACACATTATACCAAGATAAATTATATAACTAGAAATGAAACTGTTTATCTTTTCTGGGTGGTCACAGTCTGTTTCCTAAACTGCTCCTGGGTTGCAGAACAACATGCTGCCTCAGGACAAAGCCACCCTTGATGCCATAATAAGTTTTCTTGAAAGGGGAGAATCAGTTTTTGTACAGAAAACATTAATTTTCTTCAGGTTTGACAAACTTCAGTTATGAAATGAAAAATGAGGTTTCCATGGAAGTTAAGATTTTATACTGTGTTGCACAGTTATACCTTTTTGCTACTGCACTGGAACCCATGCTGCAATGAAAAGGGTTTACAAATTGCTTTCCATTTGAAAAGGTATTACACACCTGTTAGTGAGAACTTGCTAGCTACAGAAGTGTCCTGTTCTATAGGAGCAGGCATCTGCTTCACTCATTCATTTTATGGAAATTATTTTAGAAACAAAAGAGATCAGTGTATGTCCCAGGACTGAAAAATAGGCATCTCAGATAAAAATGGAAACTCAGTAGGGATCAGGACACCCAGTAAGGATTAGATCCAGTGTGGATTAATTCTACCTATGTTTGAAAAGAAGGATTATACATTTTAAAATGTATCCACTTACAAGGGTCTAATGGAATTGATATGTCAGTATATTATGCAACATGGCTCTTAATAGTAATAGTTCAATTTTTAATAAAGAAGAAGCATTTGTGACTGTCATTAGAAAGCAAATGGTAAACCAATTGTTCATTATTAAAGATTGAGTTGCATTACCCTAATTGCTTTTCATTTATATTGAAGAGTCTATGCATGAACAATTTTCAGATTTAAAAGTTGAAGTTTCAGGCATTCATCAAAACAAAACAAGAAAACAACAGTTTCTTTATTACAGAGAGACAGTCTCACTAATTAAGAGCCCAAATACTACAGTCTTCACTCACAGTAGTGAGTAAGTAGTCCTTACTCAAGTAAATAAGTCCCATTAATTTAAGTGGGATTACTTCTGTGAATAAAGATTGCAAGATTGGACCCTAAAACTTAGGAACCATGGTTCATATATAGGTCAGCCAATTCAGCTGTATCTGGAAGTATGGGACTGTAACAGTCCAAAAATCTAGACTTACAACTGTTGATCTTATAATGAAGTGTTAAGGAACGCATCAAGATTTCCTGGAAAACAAAGTAAACCACGTCATCAATACTGACTGAACAAACAAAGCATCAAAAAAATTTGAACAACAAAATGGGTTTCCAAAAATTTTCCAAAAAAATTTTGTTAGCATTTGTGATCATTTAGATAAATTCTCAACATCAGAAAATAAAACTTAAGCCTTTCGTAAGGAACTCCCCTGAAATGTAGATGAGGCCATAGTAAACAGGATTGGAAAAATGAACAAATGTAATGAAAAAGTATTGTAGAATAGTGAATTAAAGGCAGACAGAATAAATGGGGCAGCTGGTACCTCTGTGTGTTATTTGTATTTGACACTGCTGACATTTCCAATTATAAAACCATGTTTTCATTTGCTTTTAACTTTATCAAACTTTAAGGCTACATCTAGACTGGCATGATTTTCCGCCAATGCTTTTAACTGAAAAGTTTTTCTGTTAAAAACATTTGCGGAAAAGAGCATCTAGATTGGCCGGACGCTTTTCCGCAAAAGCACTTTTTGTGGAAAAGTGTCTATGCCAATCTAGACGTGGTTTTGCACAAGAAAGCCCCGATCGCCATTTTCGCCATCAGTGCTTTTTTGCACAAAACAGTTTTTAGCTGGACTGGACTGGACTTGCAGAATGACAGGTTGGAGGGGATGAGGCTAAAGAGGATCATGCTTATGAGTAGAAGAAGGTGTGTCCATTGGCACCTACTCCCCTGCCAAGCACAGAATGGCATTAAAGAGTCCTGATTCTCAATCATTCCTCTGTTGTAAGCCAAGATCTGTGAAATCCACTTAGAAAGTGTCCATTCTGTCTCCAGTGTTGGTGTACATGCAGGACAACTTACTATCAATTACTCCATTCGTGCCAGTGGTAGAGTTCAGTGCAGTGGATCCAAAACTTCCCATCCTGCTGATGAGCCATGTTGGTTCCAATATGATCCCACATGATAGAAATTCTGTTTTTTTCAGTTTCCCTTTTTAAAAACCTTGGAAATTACTTACCAAACTAGGGCTGTCAAGCAATTAAAAATCTTCAACCATTACTTTCGAAAAAGCACAGTTTGCATTACATAGCGCCTTTTTTCGAAAGAGTACTTTCAAAAAAAGGCATTCTCTCTCGTAAAATGAGGTTTTCCACGGTCAAAAAAACTGCTGCATTCTTTCGATTTACTTTCGAAAGAACGCTGCAGCAGTCTAGACTCAGGGGAAATTTTTTTTAAAAAAAAGGCCACTTTTTTTCGAAAAAACCCTGTAGTCTAGACACACCCTTGGTGATTATGATGATGACGATGACAACAGGTGTGGTAAAAGTCTTTTTCGTTGTTTTTATTTCACTTAGAACACAGAATACAAACTGAAGAGTGCTCACTTTATATATATATTTTTGTTTACCAATGTTTGCATTGTAAATAAGCAAAAGAAACATTTTCAGTTCCCCCATTATAAGTTTTGTAGGACAGTCTCTTTATCATGAAAGTTGAATTTACAAATGTTGAATTATGTACAAAAATAACTGCATTCAAAATAAAACCAATGTAAAACTTTAGAGCCTACAAGTCCACTAAGACAAACAAGTTTGTTTACATCTTTAAGAAATAATGCTGCCCACTCTGTGTTTATAGTGTCATCTGAAAGTGAAAGCAGGTGTTTGCATAGCACTATTGTAGCCAGCATCTCAATATATTTATGTGCCAGATACCCTAAAGATTCGTATGTCCCATCACACTCCAACCACCATTCCACAGGATATGCATCCATGTTGCTTACAGGTTCTGCTTGGTAACAGTCTAAAGCAGTGAGAAACAACACATGTTAATTTTCATCATCCGAGTCAGATGCCACCAGCAGAAGGTTGATTTTTTTTTGGTCATTCAGGTTCTATAGTTTCTGCATTAGAATGTTGCTCTTTAAAGAATTCTGACAGCATCTCCTCCAAATGTAAACAAACTTGTTTCTCTTTGTGATTAGCTGAACAGGAAATAGGACTGAGTGAACTTGTAAGCTCTGGAGTTTTATATGCTTCTGTTTTTGAGTGCAGTTATATAACAGTCTGCATTTGTAAGTTGCAATTTCATGATAAAGAGATTGCACTTTAGTACTTGTATGAGGTAAATTGAAAAATACAATTTCTTTTGTTTATCATTTTTACAGTTCAAATATTTGGAATGAAAATAATATAAAGTGAGCACTGAACACTTTATAGTCTGTGTTGTAATTGAAAATGTAGAAAAACATCCAAAATATGTAAAAAATTTCAATTGGTATTCTGTTGTTTAGGAATACAATTAAAACTGCTATTAATCATGATAAATTTTTTAATCACAATTAATTTTTGAGTTAATTGCATGAGTTAAAAGTCCTAAAACAAACCAAAACAAACACTCAGTATATTAACAGAACATTATTATGGTTGTGAAGTTAAGTACTCAAATTTTAAGTAACCTCAACATTCTTTTAACATAATTTTTAAATGTGTAATTGTAGCTCTCTTGGTGTGAAATTATTTAAGAGGAACTTTCAAGTGCATGAAAGGCAGGCTAGATAACTCATTTTAATGTGAATTCAATTTATTTTTCCTAAAAAAGGCCTGACCAAATGATAGGGAGCCTTATAACTTGTATTTATCACCACAATAGTTTCAGCACATGAGCAGCAGCAGAGCAAGCACCTCCATGCCAATTTACTAATGGCATGTTCTGAAGCATGGACCCTTAATATAGAAGAATAGTTTTGTTTCCATATCTACTGTACTTAGTCTTTGGCCTCTCTGCTGAGTCTGGCATTGAGATTACCAGCTGTGATTTTAGACACTTGCCCACTAACTAGGAACTGCTGAACTTTGATCCAGTCTTCACTCTCCAGTCTGTCAAAGTAAAGTCTAGTATATTAGATAGCTGTCTTTTAGCTGTAAAATTAATGAAGTATTGGTGACAACAGCCCTGATTAGTAAGGGTGGAACAAAGGGAACATCCTGACAAGCATTCTCTAGATGCATCCACCACTGCACAAAGTTCAGGATCAGTGGAAAGAAATAGACAAATCTGTCCAAGGAATGAAGAGTCAGATGGCATGTTGCCCTGCCCCACATTTGAAGTAGCGAAGGTGCAACCTTCCAAACTAGAGCAACATACATGCTGGCAGATGTGTAGCCCAAGAGCCTGTCACATCTGAACTATTTTGGAAGGCTGAGACTGCAGAGTGAGGTGAAGATGGTAAATCACCTGAAAACGGTTGGTTGGCAAAAACACTCAACTTTAGAGTGTAATATGGCCCCAATTAACTCAATTTTCTGAGTGGGAACCAAAATTGACTTTCCAGTGTTTTGGATGAGACCCAGATAGTTGGACAAGTGCAGTGTAGTGATTGTGGGAAAGGACTTCCTTTCTATACCTTCTCCTTACTTCTTGAGGCAGACTGTCACCATAACTGTACATTTGTTAGAAACCAAAGAGGCAGAAGAGCATCTGAAGGGAAGTATTGTATACTGAAAATGGGGCTCTGCTATGATGAACCAAAGGAATTTTCTGTGACTCAGCAACATTTCCACATGAAAATCATAGATATGCTGAAGGTCCAGCACAACAAACCAGGTGCTCTGAGACAACACAGAGAGGGTAGTTGATATAATGACTGTTCAGAACTTCATGTATTACCCTTCCCATGGATTTGGACACCAGAAAGTACCAGGAATAGAAGCTCTGTCCTCAGTTTCAAAGCTAATAGAGTGTGAACGTTCTCAAGAAGCACAATCTCGTGAGAGGGGTCTCTGAAGACACATGAAAAGGTAGGAAGGATTGAGGGAGGAATGGAAAGAATCTGGATGACGTACTTATCTGATAGTGCTTAGGACTCAGTTGTCAATGGTGATTGACCCTTAAGTATTGTGAAAGTGAGGCAGCCTGTCCCGAAATAGATGGGATGGGGAGAAGCAATGAGTGAGATGCTACTGTGGACCAAGGTGTCAAAATGTCCTTGATGCCAAAGCATGCTGCATAGACAGTTTGAGCAGGTGCAGCTTTACATGAAGATCCTTCACCATATGACTGTTTCATGAGCGATTTGCAAATCCAACTCCCTTCCCTCCCCCCCTTGTCATGGGCTTTGCCTACTGTGATGGGGATCCCTGTTGGGGATCGCTCCCCATTCATGTTGTAATATCCATGTCAAACTGATGAGTTTTGTTGCTAAGTTTTAAAATCTATAAAATAAGACTTGATTATCATTATTTTACCCTCCAGTACAAAAGGGTAAAAGAAATTAGAATATTTCTACTATGAAAAGAGAGTGTAAAGTAGCATTAAAGTATTATCTGTTTGTTGTGTTTCAATTCTCTTCTTATATAAAATGGCCTCAGTTTACAAATAAAAGATGTGCTTTCCAACCACCTATCCTGAAACTCTGTGATCTTTCCACTTCGTGTATCGCTAGTAGGGATAATGAGTGTGTGTGCAAATTTAAGTCCTCAGTTACATATGTGTAACCTCATTGTCTTTAAACTGGCTTACAACATTTTTAATGTTAGTAATTTGTTATCAGTAAAGGTGTTTAGTAAGATGTGAATTCATTTAGTAATTAAAAAGACCTCAGGATAAATCAGATAGATTTGAGTTATTAAGATAATTAGTTAATTAGATAACACATAACAGAAAGAGATGTGCATTACTACAATCTGTGAGAACCCTTTTGTGCAGTCTGTAGACAAGATAGTTGGTACTTTCTGTCCAGTTCTGGTTCTGAAAATAGCTTACAGTATAGTACTATTTTAGTAGAAAGGCCTACAGTTTCATTTTAACTTATTTCCTGTTTATCCACAGACCTATATTACTGGTATCCCCAAAATTTCCAGTTTATTAACATTTGTTTATCTCTGTAAATCCTCCTACAACTAAATAGCTGTTACAATTATTAGTCCCTCTAAAATAATATTTATGTTTTTAACAATTTTTGCAAAGATTGTCAAATCTTTTAGTAGCAATTCATAGACAAGCTATTATTTTCCGTTCTTAATAGGACTCCCACAACACTTTGGGAGTTTAACTCATAAATAAACTATTAGCCTTACATAAGTCTGGCCCATAGGTCAACATCAATAATCCCACAGAAAATAGAATTATATCTACAGCTAACTCTGTTTTAGTTGCGTTGGTTCTTCAGGATTAACAGGAATAAAAAGCAGTAAAATCTCATTTTTATCAAGTTGGTAAATGATGACTATCCATGATACACAACAGATACAATGCATAAAGAAATGCCATTTTTCTAGTCACTTTTCAATGCAAAGGCATGCTGATGATTAAAGGTAAATTTTCTGGTTGCTAATAGGGATGTTAAATATCTGTTAATTGAATAGTCGATTGACCTCATGAATTCTTATCAGTTACTTGACTATTCTATAATCCCTGGAGGCGGGGCCGGCAGCCAGTGTGCTCTGGCCTCATTCCTGAGGAGCCCCCTGCCACTTCACACTGCTCTCTCTGAAACAGAGGCAGCAGCATGAGGTGCCAGGCGGGAGCTGGTCCACAAGGGAGGCCAGGTTAAAAACCAGCTCCCTTTATGGACCGGCTGCCTGTTGCCCCACGCTGCTGCCTCTGATACAGAGGTAGCAGCACGGTGTGGCAGCAACCCGTCTCCGGGATGGTTGGGAAGCTGAGCTCCCGGACCTGGCACAAGCTGGGCTGCTTGACTGCCTGGCTCCTAATACACTTTAAAAGCAGAGCCATAGCAGGGGAAGGTCCCGGACCTGGAGCAAGCCAAAACTGAGCTGGGCTACTGGCCAGCCTGCTAAAAAATTTACTGGCAAGAGGGGGAGGGAAATGCATGTAGTCTACAGCATTAACCTATAAACTTTTGCTTATCGGTTAATTGGTTAATCGACTATTATATCCCTAGTTAATATATGAATGGAAATTATCTCTACTGCTTTCATATTTCCTTCCCCATTGGCAATGTATAAATGATACTCATTTTTCAGAACAGGCATCAACTGTTAATGATGTGGTCCATTCTTCAGTTGTCAAACATTCTTTCAACAAACACTGTACTGATCCAGAAATGTACTGTCAATGTTTATACATTTATTTCGGTGAAATGAATGTTTTTAGGTTTCTTTGGTTCATGCTTCTACTAACATCTACAATACTTTTAAGGTTCATTAGGGTTGCCTGGATTAAATGGCTTGAATGGACTGCAAGGTCAAAAGGGCTTACCAGGACATCCAGGTAAAGAATGAAAATGTACAGAATTTTTTTAAAAACACTGATATTTATCCTGTCATTATGGATCAGACTATACTTTAAAACAGTGCCGATACTTAAATGATCTAGAGACACACACTAGCAGTCATCTGTGGGGAAAGATGACTTTAGATCTAATAATGTAGCTGGAATCCTTTGAGAATATTATTACAGTGAAAATGTTCAGTGATTCAAAGTGGAGCCAAGTCTCAAACTTTTATATGCACAAGATAAACAATAGCAAATAAATTAAAAGGAGACTCTTGGGGAAAATCTTGGCCATGGTTATCTATTTGAAGCTTTCAAAGCACCCTGTTAACTATTATTAAAATCCATTCTAAGCACCTAAGAGATCATGCAACTGAGCCATAACACCTTAAGGACCTTAACACCTTTGAAAGGATGAACGAGGGCCAGATTCAACAAAACTCCACCCAGCTTACATTTGAGAATCAGAAAATTAGAGATATACTAACCTCAAAAGAAACACCATCAGCTGCAGCTGGAATTTCTATTCTGTACATCTGTATTTGCATTCACTGTAGACTTCATGTGCTGTAATTGTTTTCTTATGGAGGTCAAAGTGAAATAGGACCTCCAGGATTTATGGGAGCACCTGGACCAAAAGGAGACAGAGGTGAACCTGGGCAGCCAGGGGTTTCTTTTCCTGGATCACCTGGAGACATGGGCTTGTCAGGACATCCCGGTAAGAAACATGTTCTCCTCAACAGTGAACTGTAAATCTGAAATGAAAATTGATCTAGCTTCATGCCATTTTGTTAGCAGGCCCATGTAGCACATACATCTGGGCTCTCTCTTTAAGAAATAATTTCTCTCATCCAAGAAGCATTTCCTGACTTGCTATAGATATCCCTGATTGCATCATTCCGCTAGATCACTGAGACTATGGGTTGCATGAGATCTGTGGAATCAGTGATGTTAATGAGTGATGCATTCTGGGACCTTTGTAGCTCCTGTGGATATTTTGGAAAGGAATTAGATTTTTTTTTTTAATAATTATATTTTCTGTGCCAAATGCTCCCACCATCTGTTTAACAGGCAAATCTAGCACACAACTATGTAGTTAATTCATGTATTGTGTGACTTTTGTGCCTCAACTCCCTTAAATTAATATTTTATTTTTGTAATCCAAAGTATAAGTTATCGAAAACTCAAAACTTTTAGCATCTGATCTGCTCTGTCAGGTAGACCAGGAGTTGCTGGGCCTGCAGGACCTGTGGGAAGATCTCCTGAAACTGCACCTCCTGGTCCTCCAGGTGATCAGGGGCCACCTGGCTCAGATGGCCTGAGAGGTATAAGAAAATCAAAAACTCTACTCTAGTCATGTATATGGATGTGATACGGGAAGGGCAAAGAGTTAAAATATGGCTGTTCCATGAATACATGGAGAAGGATGCAGTGCAGCACAGTGGAAAGGGTGCTGGATAGGAACTCACAAAACCTGCACTCTAGTCCCATATTTGACCTGCTTGGCATAGGTATGGGAAGAAGGGATACAGGGGGATAGTGCTAGAGCCACCCTGAGGTTTTGCACCTGGCTTCCCTGCGCCCAGTGCCCAGCCCCACTGCCGACCTGCCGCCAGCCCTGGGTCTGCTGTTCAGGCCAGTAACACTCAAGGTCTGATCTCTTGTGATCCTTTCGGTACCAGAAAGAAGAGTGCTAAAGCAGTGGAAAGAAAAAGCAGCCATCTCTGCCCACTCCCTTCTGTAGCCGGGAGTGAGAGGAATGCATGCAAGCCGTGTATGTTCCTCTCACTCTCTGATAGGACTGGGAAGAAGAATATACACTGTCCAGTAGGCACGGTTGCAGCCATGTACGTTCCTCTCACTCTCTGATAGGGACTGGGAAGAAGAATATACACTGTCCAGTAGGCACGGTTGCAGCCCCCTCTACCCTCCTGAAATGGCGCCCTTGTCCCCGCAGACTCTGCTGCCCACCATCCGCAGGGTCCAGGCTATCTGCTTCTACTCAGGGCCTTGCTGCCAGCCTGGGGCTCCACAGAACCTCCAGCTGCGGCTAGGATTGCCAACTCTCCCAGATGGGACACCATTTGCAGTAGTGGCGTTCGGTCTAGGAGAGCAGGCAAACCCTACACGTGACCCCAGCCTAGGGTAGAGAGGCAATGGGCATTTGAGGGGCTAGGGTGGCTCATAACCCCCACCCTAAAAATAGTTTCAGCACCACTACTACTGGGTGACTTTAGAGAAGTTCCGCTACCTCAGTCTCCCATCTGTAAAATGGATATAATGCTTATCTCCTTTGAAATCTATGGAAGAGAAGCAATTTACAAACACTTTATAGAGGAGATAAGTTTCCCATTTTACTAGAGAGATGTATCCTCATGATGATTATGTAGTAAGGCATAAAGGTTTTATCAGGATGCATTATATAGGCTTCCATATGATTTCCAATAAAACCTTTAAACTACATCATCACATACTCTGTGTAGGCCATATATGTTACAGGTAATAAAATCTATTTTGCATATTAGAGTGTGTTTAAAATTGAGGTGACTTGTAGTATTCCCAACATAAATGTATAAACTAGGGCTGTCGATTAATGCAGGGCAGAATTAATGCATTAATTTTTTTAACGCACATTATTTGCAGGTGTTTCCATGGCGCTGGCCCTTTGAAACACTGCCATGACGTTTCAAAGGGACAGTGCAAGTGGAGCCCAGGATCAGCTGTGTGACACTGTCCTTCTGAAATGCCGCCGTGCGCATAGCTGATCCCGGGCTCCGCTAGCGCTGCCTCTTTGAACTGCCATGGCTCCATACAGCATTGCCCCTTTGAAACGCTGAAGCACTTCAAAGGGGCAGCATAATGCGGCGCCCAGAGTCAGCTAGAGTTGTCTGTTTAACTGTGCAATTAATCACGAATAGTAGTTTTAAATTGCACAATTAATTGCGATTATTTTTTTTAATTGCTTGACAGCTGTAGTATAAACCAGTGTTTCTTAAAGTGGTCTGCGAAACCACTTTGAGAAACCTGTTTACTGACTGTGCCAGTTTATTTATTTACCAATGGCATGGATGCAGAGCCTCGCAGCTCCTTTTGGCTCCATTTCACTGTTTGCAACCAAGGGGAGCTGTGGGAAGCGGCAGCCTGGCCCATATTGCTTCCCGCAGCTCCCCTTGGCTGCACACAGCAAAACGGAGACAATGGGATCCACGAGGCTCTGTGGTCACTTTGAGAAACACTGATGTAAACATATTCACAGGGAATGCAACTCCAAAGGGCTAAAAGATGGTGTTATAAAATGACCTCTGAAATACATTTTCTATTCATAAAAGTGTCACGATTTTAAGGTCCAGCATCTCAGATCCATCCAAGGCCAGAAACAAGAGTTGAATTTTCTGTTGGAAATGTTTTAGCTCTCTTCTTTCTAGCTCCATAGGATGACAAGATATCACACCTTAAAAGTGTTACTGGTCTGGGATTGAATACCACTTGTCCTTTGATAGGTGTAATTTTGGGAAGAGCTACCCCTGTGATAAAATTGAAGATTATGTAATAAACTGGAAACATCATGTACTTCTGCCCACTTCGGTTGCACTCCTCCTGCTTATGTATCTGTGCTGGGATTACTTCCAGACTCGTACAACTCTTAGGAGCTTCTGACAGCTGACATTTTTAAAAGAATCTTCCTCATAAAATGAGGTTTCCCACCGTCAGAAAAACCCCTCCGTTCTTTCGACTTTCTGTCAAAAGAACTCAATGGCAGTGTATTGTTTTTCTGGAAATACTGCAGTGTAGATGCACCCTCAATGTACAGAGCACTCACCTATTGATTGCAGAGGATCCCAGTGGTTTGGGGGGGGGGGTGAAATCCCATGGAGATTGCCTCCCCTGTATTCCTTAAAGTAGGACTTAGGGCAATGTTTTCTAACACAACTCAGTGACTTAGGATCCTATTTTCCATTGAAATTCAGTGGGACTTAAGCTCTGGTGAAATGATGACCCTTTGTGAGTGTGTTATTAATATCAGTTGTTTTTGTTTTAGGCCCACCTGGCAATCCTGGCCCTCCTGGAAAGACTATCCTTGTGAAAGGCGATCTAGGGGAATTTGGTGTTCCAGGTGCACCTGGTATTCCTGGCCAGCCGGGACCACAGGGAGCCAAAGGCTTTCCAGGAAATCCAGGGAGGGAAGGCCCAAAAGGTATGATTTAAATTATATGGCTTTGTTTGAATGAATACGTATTTTCATTGAGAGTCTTCTAAGTATCTACATTCTGTTAGCTTGCCATTTCTGGGAAATTGAGAATGGACTTCACATTTTAAATGGTAAGAATTGTAGGCCAGATCTTATGCCATAGACCAGCAATGGGCAACCTAGGCTAGCGAGTGGGCTGCATGAATGGCCCTTCTTCATCTCAGTGGGCCACAAGATTGTTGTAACCAAGACAGTCTGCCAGGAAAGAGTAGTTTTGCTAACTGCGCTGGTATGCCTAGAATTTGCAGAGTGTAGAGATTGAACTGTAGCAGTGTTTGATTTGATGCAAAGGGATTTCTCACAGACAGCTCTCAGTCAATGTTGTGTGCAGTCAGAAAGCACCTCACTTCACTTGCTCTTGCTTTACATGTAATAAACTACACAGACAGAAATCAGCGGAATCTGTCAGTGTCTCGTGGCCCGCACACAGAACCCCAGTGGGCCTCAGGTTGCCCACCACTGCTATGGATGCTTGTGCAGAGGGAACCCTGCTCTTGGGGATCTGCTTCCAGCTATGTGGAAGGGAAGGGTCAGACTCCTCTGGCCACTGTCCTGTCATCAATCTACACATTGGGATAGGCATCGAGGCAGGAACAGTAGGGTCTGGAAAAGAGCCAGGTGCACACACACTAGGGCTGTGTCTAGACTGCAGGTTTTTTTTTTTTTAAGTAGCCTTTTTTCGAAAAAACTTCACATGCGTCTAGACTACAGCTGCTTTCTTTCTAAATTAAATCGAAAGAACGCGGCTTTTCTTTCGACGGCGGTACTCCTCATTTCACGAGGAAGAATGCCTTTTTTCGAAAGTGCTTTCGAAAAAAGGCGCTATGTAATGCAAACAGTGCTTTTCGAAAGAGAGCATCCAGACTCCCTGGGTGATCTCTTTCCAAAAAGCAGCTTGCTTTTTCGAAAGTACTGATTGCAGTCTAGATGCTCTTTTTCGAAAGAAGCTTTTTCGAAAGTATCTTTTGAAAAAGCCTCTTTCAAAGAGGCTTGCAGTCTAGACATAGCCTAGGTGTTCCATAAACTGAGGATTCTAAAAATCTTATTTATTGCTATTTCCTATGGGACTAAAGGTGGGGCTAACCCTGGCAGCTGATTCCTATAATGCTGGAGAGCTACAAAAGCTGCAGTTCACCTGCTGACAACCCTGCTGGTCAGGCAGGCGGAAGCCCCATCCCTGTCAGAAGAATGCACACAGCAGCACAGCACCACTCACGCAGGCATGGCTTATTTGTGCGGGGAGGGGAGTCCACTGACTTTTCTCTCCTGGGCCAGGACTTGTCGTCAGCAGGCCTCATGGTGCCATGGAGCCAATGCAGAGGCACAGATGTTCAATACAGAAGGCTTTGTGCCTCCAAGCAAGTTCATGAGAATTGTCGGATTTGATGCTTCTACTTTGAACAGGAGCGGTACATAGAGCCAACCCTCCCCACACAGGGGTCATCACAGGAAACTTTGTGAGGGGTTTTCCTGTAAGAGAGCAAAATCGGGCCCCCAGCTATTTTTTGAAACACAGAACAGTAACTGGTCAGGAGACCTAATGCCTGACCTCATTGCTCTTGAGTTCTGTACCTTCAGCATCACAGGGGTCTTCCGATTCAACTGCTCAGTGCAACTATCAGTGACAAAATCATCTCACACTTTTTTGTAAGGTCCTATCGGAAACCCTGGCCTGCAGGGTCTTCCTGGCACTGTGGGGCCACGTGGGGATCAAGGTTTTCAAGGACAGCCTGGCCCTCGGGGTCCTGCAGGTACTTTTGAACAACATACTGTTCTTTTCTTTGCAGCACTGTATGTATTGACTTTGATTTTAATACACTTGAACTTCCATAATCTGGGTGTTCCTAGTCCGGGAACACTCATGGTTCAGACCCTAGTGAGGGAGGAGCAAATATCTCTGTTCCCTGCCACTCCCCTTCACACCTAGCTGAAGGAACGGCAGTGCAGTGAAGCGCTAGTCTGGAGGCTTTCCCCCTCTACTGCTCATACAGTGGTAGGAGGTGGTGGCTGGGAGCAGCAGGTGGGCATAGAGCCACATGTGCTCCTGAGAGTGGGGTGCCAGGTAAGCACCCCATACTCACCACGCCCAGATCCCTCAACTCCATCTCCCTCGTGCACCTTACCCCCCTCAGACCCTGCACCTCCACCCCCAATCCCTTCATTATGGCAAACATCCATAATCTGGCATAGCCTATTTCCCAAAACTGCCAGATTAAAGAAGATCAAGTGCATCTGTACAAAGCACTTTTATATGCTATTTATTTACATGGAAAGTGTTTATAGCAACTTGACAAAATTCTCGCTGCCCATTCGGGATGAGGAAATATTGTTGAGTAAGTTAGATATAATTCTTTTATTATTACTAGGGGGCTGCGCCCCTGCTTGCTATGCTCACCAACCCCCCTCTTGTGGGGGGTAGGCAACCCCAGCTCTCCCCTAGCCACCGGAGAGGAATGGGCTACAGCCGCACTAGCACAAGTCCCTCCTCACCCCTTCCCTCCCCATCCCTGGCTGCGCCAGCCCAGGCCCCTTCTCTTCCCCCACCCCCGACGCGACTCTGCATCCACTGAAGGCCAGGCCATGGTGTTCCAGGCCAGGCCCAGCCCTGCCCACACGTCTGAGGAAGGCCAGACCGAGGCGCTCCAACCTGGCTCTCCTTGTGGCTGCTGGAGAGAGCTGGGCTGGCAGAGGGTGGAGCTTGGTTCCAGAGATGGGGCCTGGAATGGAACGGGCAGGGCTTTACCTGGTTGTGCCTACCCCCCAGCCTGTGGGTGCTGTGACATGATGACATCACTCTGTCATCCCACAGGAAAAAAAATGAGAGAGAGAGAGAGATTATAATCACTCTTCACTGATGAAGTTTGTGCCTGGTCTGGTAAATTTTCCTGAGTTATGTAAGCCTGGTTTAAAATGGTAGTTGCAGCCTTCCATTCAGTTTTGAGTCACTGAAACAATTTAATAAATGATCATTTTGTTCTGATATTTGCAATAGTTTGCAAGAACAGAGACCATAAACCTGCCCGATTAGGGTTTTTGCAAAGATGTACCATAATTTGAACATACGCTGTCTGCTATGTATTTCGTCCCCTCCCTCTTCCTTTTTTTTCCTCTCTCAAGTAACATTCATTAAGCATAATATCATAATAGCCACAATATTGCACATGCTATCAAGAATTTCAGTGTACAGTAAGTAATCTTATCTTATCTCATGACAAAATAAGTGTCTCAAGATTGGAAAATGTAATACAGATTGAACCTCTCTAGTCCAGCACCTTTGGGACCTAACCCAAACCAGAGAATTTGACAAACCATGGAAGGTCAGTATTGTCTAGCAGCATTACCAACACTTCCACTGCTGACTGGGCTCTTAGAAAACATTTAGGGAGAAATTAGAGCTAAATAACAGCACAGAACACTGAGAGGCCAGGGCTGATGGCTATAAACAAATTTTGTGGGACTGCAGGAAATTTGGCTACACCCATGGTAAGCAGACATCTAGCTAACTGAAATCATGCCAGACCATGCATGTTGCCAGACTAGAGAGTGCTAAATTAGAGAGGTTCAACCCGTACATATTTTATTTTCCAATTTTAAAACCTTTCAGGATAAACAACATATGTTTTATAGTTATTCAAACCTGAAAATAGTTTCCTCTAATCATACATTATTCTTTCTTTACTGAGTGCTGAACTAATTTCTTCCCCTGCGGGAATAAGTGATGATTGATAGAATTGATAGTATTGTGGGCCAAAACTCAGCTGATTTTCCCTACCCCAAGTAAGAAAGTTTCATTCCCTAAATACTGAGTAAAGGTGTATAGTAAAAGCTGAGAGCCTGATCATCCTCTTTTATATAAGGCGGCCAGAAGGGAAGGAGAAAACTGAGATTCCAATTATGGAATTCTCCACAAATCTTTTACTCGGTTTGCTATGATGAATTGATCCAAAGGCTCTGTGAAATAAGGCAGCTTCAAACCAGCACTTGCCTCTGCCCTTCTGGTTTTTCTGTAGCAGATGTGCAGTGCCACAAGGAACTGTTTTACCTCTGTGGTTTAGCTGTATGGAAGGCAAAGGTCAGTTTACCAAAGATAAAGTCCTGGAGTATGTCCACTCCTGGATCCTGCTTCAATCATATATGCAGCACTTTTTACACAAAATGGCAATAGAGGGTATCTTTGGGGTATATAAATACATGGCAGAGGTGGCATAGTCATGGGGAATTCCACACATGAAAAGGGCTTAGCCCTGAGCAAGTGCCTCATATTCAACACTGTGAACTGCAAACTAGAAGAGTTTGCATCTCACACAAGGCACCTCGCCCCTTAACAATACTATGTATTACAAGATCACAGTGATTTTGGATTCATTTGAGCACACATCAGTGTCTCTTCTCTATACTAGACTTTAAAAACTTTAAATCCTAGTCCAAACACAGTCTGAAGATGTTTGCACGCTGTTTTCAAAGACATGTACTTTTAGATTTTGCCATTATTATTTATATCAGCATGAATAGTGTCAGTTTGCACAAACGATTTCATTTCTCATTCCATACCTTGTTCTCATTGACATGCCTGAAACTTGTTTCCATCCTGCTTGACAATGGCTGGCATGATCTGCTTCCCATTTTATGATCGCTTCAGGTTGCAGAGGTAAGTTTGTATTGCATGTCTGGGGTTTGTTCTGCACACTCCACCCTCACTGAATAGTAGAGCCATTGCAGAAAGCTATTGTTGACAGATATTGTTATAATGGGGAGATTAGAATAGTTTTTAATATAGCTAGTTTGTGTGCACAGGCACAGCCACCTTGTACTACAGTGAAAAGCCATACAATAAAGTGTCAAATGTGTACATAGAATTCTATATGCAAGTATGTAAAATACAAGTTTTCTCTTCAGTGATTTGTCAGATCTATTGTATTTCTTTTTATTGGCTGCCGCAGCATTCTCTTTCTAAAAGAAGCCAGTCCTGCTACCAGATCAGTGCAAGTAAACATCGAGCTTCATTGACTTTGAACCAATTCAATAAGTCTTTCAGACAAATGTATTTATTGCAGAATGCAAATAATGAACAACACAAAGCAACAGTTAATAAACTGTAGCCATTCTATGATGGCTTTCATTGAAAGTGAATGAGTAATGTGGGATGGAGCCCCTACACCTTTACCTCTAAGTTGCATGTAGAGACTTACTCTACTGCCTTCATAGAATAGACAAGGCAATGTATACTTTAGCGTGCTCAATTGAGTTAAAGCCCGTGTTCCTTCCATGCTTCAGCTCAACCAGTTTAGCACACATTAAGGACCGTGTCCCTTGTCTACACTAGACTTTTAAAACTTGTTAGCTCCCGCATGCTAATAGACCTTTAAATCCTAGACCAGACACAGTCTGAAAGTTAAGTTAAACGACTGTCTCTCATCAGTCATAGTTTTGGAATACTGCCCCAGGAACGCACTTGAATATCAAAAGCAGTTAACAGGGTAATGTTGATCTCCCACAGATTTTTGTTCCAATTTGTTTTATTTTAATTTCATTCCATATTTCCAGGTGACCCTGGTAAGCCAGGAAAAACAGATGACTCCTCATGTCCCAAGACACCAGGGCCTCCTGGAGAAAAAGGACAAAGAGGAGCTGAAGGGTCTGTTGGATTATCCGGGCCAATAGGTTATCCTGGACCTCCAGGTAAGGTCTGTAATTAAATAATAGATCATTTAAGACAAACAGCGCACTTAAGGCTTTGAAAAGTGTGTTCTCTGCTCCCTTCATGCAAAACTGTTTTAAGTTCACGGGCGTGGGATGGGGAAGGAAGGGTATTACTTTGCACATTTCTCCTCTCTTCTTTTCTTACATATGCTAAAACTTGACTAAGTTCGTCAAAAGGACAGCAAGATATTTACTTGGAATTTTAACAAATAAATGTCATTCTTGGTCAGTGAAATGAAATAAAAACAATCCCTATTGTGGTTTTTTTTTTTACTTATGGAAATTCAGTATTTACTGTAAAATCTCATTTGACAACATTCCCCAGGCATGCTGAAGAGTTTCTTCTTATGCTGAAAGCACATTTGCTGAAAGCAAATTGAGACAGGGTGACAGAATAACGAATAACTCTGGCTACATCTACATTGGCATGATCTTGTGCAAAGAGTTCTTGCGTTAAAGTATTTGCGCAAGAGAGCGTTTACACTGGCATGTGCCTTTGCGCAAGACATGTACTTTTGTGCAAGAGTAGACGCTCTCTTGCGCAAGAAAGCTCCAATGGCCATTTTAACCATTGGGCTTTCTTGCGCAAGAAATTCATGTTGCCTGCCTACACTGGCCTCTTGCGCAAGAACAGTTGCGCAAGAGGGCTTATTCCTGGTGGAAAAAAGATTGAGAGGTAAAACAGACAGTGATGATTCTGATGAAAATTGGATAACTTGATAGAAATGTGGAGTTTGTCTCTTAATTAGCTCTAGATAATGGGATACATACCACACACTCAGGCGATTATCACTTAGGGAATTCATGTTTTTCATGGTGGTATCACTAATTTTCAGTGGAAGATAGTCCAGTAGGTCTTTGCTATAATGCAGGGCTACTCAACTTTGGAAGTTCCGGGGGCTGCAAAGATACTCTCAGCACATGCCGAGGGCCGCAACTTAAGTGTGGTTGCACATACATGCAAATATATATGTAAATACAGGCAGTCCCCAGGTTACGTACAAGATAGGGATTGTAGGTTTGTTCTTAAGTTGAATTTGTACGTAAGTCGGAACTGGTACATATTGTACCCCAGGTGTCCCCGATTCAGCCGCTGCTGAAACTGACCAGCAGCTGACTACAGGAAGCCCGAGGCAGAGTTGCTTTGCCCCAGGCTTCCTGGAATCAGCCACTGATCAGTTTCAGCAGCAGCTGACTTGGGGACACCTGGGGTAGAGCAGCTAGGGTGCTGCCAGGTTGGTCCCTGCAGCGCCGAGGTGCGGCATTGCGGAG